TCGCGCGGCTTCCGAATATCGCCTGTAGGTGCAACGTGTGTATACATATACCACTCGCGGAAATTTATCCGCGGTTATAGCAGAGGTCGAAAATATATGTGCTGCCGGGAGCAACGCACTTTTGTGATGTATATACGTTATCGTGCACTAGTGAAATTCAGTTGAAAAAGCATATATTATGCGTCGATCGATGATTTTACTTCTATGATAATTATGTTCTATGGAAAATTAAAACTCGGTTGTGTTTCGCTGTACTTAAAAAAAATAAAAAAATGAAACAACTCCAGTCGATTAAAAAATAAAACAACCATTGCGCACTCGACAATGTAGCTGTTATTTTTTTTTTTTTGCACTGTTTTTCACTTTCAGGGTCCGTACCCTGTGCGTGCCGCTAAACGGACCAACAGAAAAGCCCGCATACACGCAAACGATCATTATACACCCCCACAGGTATATATATACTATACGCAGATCGAGTCTCGAGATACAGTGCGTACACGATCGCGGGGTCGCTATCCTATTATAATATGTGTGCGTGTATGTATGTGTGTATGTATGTATCATACCGAAATAATAATTATAATAATGGCAAACGAAGATCTGACTCGCTTCGACTCGTAAATGACGGAAGGGCGAGGCATCGGCAAATTATGCTATGCCTGTACGTGTACTTGCGTATACGCGCCGCACTGCACAAAAGAGGAAAGGGAAAAGACGGAGAGATGCAGCGAGGGCTCGCTCTCGCGTGTTTTCCGTCGCTATCGTTATTAGAATTGCGGGGAGTTGTTTATTTTTCTATGAAACAAAAAAAAAGGTGGGGGGGAGGGGTGAGAGGCAAAAACACGCATGCATGCACATGATGTAGGCGCGTGTATGATGGGTATAATCGCGCGTATTCTTGTGTATGTGGGTAAAATATACAACATAAGTGCAGGGAATGAACAGAGGGAGAAAGGTTGCTCATTTACTCTTGTGCGACAAATTTTAGCTCTTGCGTAATTTTAGGACTTTAAAAAAAAAATTTTTCTTGTATTTTGCTGAAAAGAAGCTAAAAGTATACAATATTTACATTTATTTGAATGTTTATCACTTGTATAGACTACACAGAGCGCTATAGATAAAGATTATTATTAATAAGAATTTTGAATTGGCGAGAAAATTGGTATACTACAGTTTACCCCAACTACTGAATTTCGAGTAAGTACCTACTTATATACAGTCACGGGGAAAATTTTAATTAATCATCTACACGCACCTGCCGTTAATCCAAAGGTTCATAATTTATCCGGAAATGCGTTATCAAGACTTTTTTTCCCCCGACAGTAAGAAAACAAAATCATCTTTTGGTGCTCACGCGCGTGAGACGCAACGATTCGCGGTCTGCGAACCGCAGGTTCTTTTTCACCCCAGAACGAGGATACTTCGGTGCGATCATTGAGACTTGTTGGCACTTCCGTCAACAGACACTTTGATTCCACCGAAATATCGGGTGTCAGGGTCGATTTGATGCGTCTCGGAGATGCCGATCGTCACCGATTTCACGCGCCGATGGACGAGTGTGCGGATCTCGCGAATCGTTGCGTGAAAAACAACGCGATCGTGCGCATTATCTCGGTAACCGAAAGTAAAACGAGCATACTAGTACACTCGATCGGTGGTACAGTGTACACCAAGTGAGCCGAGTCTGCGAGAGAGTATTATAATGTAAGCGCGCTTGCAGCCATAAATTTGTCCGCACGCATGTTCAGAACTCAAGACTCGATTCCTCATCGTGTATGTACAGTGTGTATAATGCAGACGCGGGTACAACTTTTTTTTCCCTCCTCCCCTCTTAGCTTTCGATTGCACGCGCTGCGGTTGCGCAAACGGAATCGCGACAATTTCCGCGTCATAAATATCACGAATTGCGCCTTGTTCCCTGGTCTAGCGCAGAACAGAAAAAAAAAAAAAAAAAAAAAAAGAGAAAAGAAGAAAAAGGACAGACCGTTGCAAATGCACGTGCCATGTAGCTTCGCGAGGAAGCCGTAAATGATGGTATTACGCGTGTGAAGGCAGGCAAACTCTTTTCTCTCGGTGGGTGAGGGCAGGAAACGACCCATAGCCGGGCCGAGCTGCGTTTCCTCGATTCGTTCGTCATATCGTACACGAGTGAGGGCCATTATGGGACATGGACTGGCAATGGAGTTAAGGTCTCGCGGAGAATTGCGCCATCGCTGAGGTTTATGGGCCTTTTTTTTTTGTTTTGCCATCGCTGGAGCGCGTGTTTGATGCATACTTTGATGGCTTTTGCGAAATATCCGCGCGTACAATTGGTACAGACCATACGAGTACCATTGGATTTGGTTCTTAATTTCATTCTCGTTCGTACTTTACATTGCTTGGTTTTCTCACTAAAGACATTTCAATTTGATAATCAAACTGTATTACGAGGACTTAGTAACATGTATACTTACTGGTAATTGGATCGAATCGAGGAAAAGCCACGCGAATCGATGTGCCTACGTAAACGGGTCCAATAAATAGCAATCGGCAAAAAGTACAGTCACGATCGTCGCAGTTGTCGCTTTTCATCCGAACGAATCCAATCGGAGAACCTCATAAATTTTCCTCCTCTCCGGCGCTCGCTCGCCCGGAGCTACTTAGCGAAATCACCGCAAAATTATCCATTAGATTTTCATCCAGCTCGGCGCTACAAGATCACTTGCATGATTCGCGAGTTGCATAACACGTATATGTATACAAGCATTGGGTAACTCCTATACGTAATTACTGCGCTTATAATCGATTTTGACAAAACCCAACTCGTCGTCGTCGTCGTCTTCGTCGTACAATGCAGCATTTTAACGAACAGTAGCGCCTCCTCATTTATCGTTCGCGATTACAGTGTTGTTTTTTTTTTTTTTTTTTTTTTTATAATGTCTCCCTCTGTGTAGACGTGCAGTGTTACGTGGCAGGTATAGGTATACAAGAGCGTCGTGGGAAGCGGTGCCGAGATTTTCCCAAAGCACGCGAGAAAGTTTGATGCGCGCACGTATATCTCTCTCGTGTGTATAAAACGCGCGGCGAGCGGCCTGCAGGATTGACGGGGAGGGAAGGGTGATTGCCGGGAGGATTGTGATGGTGATAATCATACATCATGGGTGGGACGTAGTCAGGAGGGGGGGAAATTTCCCAATCCTCTCGCGAGGATAGTTCGCCAAAGGATTTGCTCGTCCGCGCGTGTGAGTTGTGCGCTCTGTACTGTAGGTATGTGAGCACTGGCTTACGGTGTCGCAATGCTCGCAGAGGAGCTGAATTTATTATTGGAAAACGTGACCTTCTCGATCCCGCGATGATCGTCTTTTCCCCGCTTATTTGGTGATTTCAATCGGCGCTATTGGAATTTCGTTTATATATAGGTATGTATATATACTTATTGTGGCGCTCACCGTTGCAAACACTTGCTGCTACTTACTTTGTTACTTGTACGTTCAAATGATAGTTGGACCATGGAATCAATGGTACACATAAAATTCGGGAAAAATTGACCGTAGGTACTTTTGCGTGAAAGTCACCTCCAATGGCCATACTCAAATTTTTCATCGTTATCTTTTTTAATTTTTATATTCAGTCGGTCAGCACTTGTTTGTCGTACAAAAATACCCAATGGCATGTCAATGGTTTGTTATTTCTCGAATCTCCTATACATTAAATCCACTGCTCGTACGGAAATATCGATATGATTCATTCCCGGGTTGAATGAACGCCGTAGCGACACGTGGAGACGAAAATTAATTATCGCCCGGGGAGAGGCACACTCGTCACCGATGATTGTAAAATAGTGACACTCGACCCGACATTGGACGAAAAAAACTACGTAAAAGAGTGACTGGATGATGTTACTCCTGCTACCGTTTTCTACTGTGCTGTCGTGCGCGGGCGGGCGTAGGTCACTTTGTTTCGTTTGATTTTTCTATTCAACATACGACCTATACGGAATTTCAATTTGATGTCAGGTAGATGTTATTTTTGTTAAAAATAAACACACATTCATTAAGGAGTACGAGTATTCACGCAGTGGTAATCTTTGTAATAAGTGCTTGTGTAATTCCACGTCATTAAGAGTCCTCTGATTGAAAAACACCATATACGTTGGCCTCGTGTATACCTCGCATCCATTTATACATTTTCATCATCAAGGGAACACGTACGCTGGTTTATTTGGCAGTCAAGAAAAATTTTTTTTTCAACTTTTACAAATCTTGATCAGTCAAACAAGTCAATCATGTTTGGGGATCTGTACGCAGGAACAGCTGACGAGATAACAGTTTGACGCCGTTGAGGAAAAAAAAAAAATACGTGTTAAGCCAATCCCGACGAGACAAATTGTTTTTAGGGTTTTCTTCCACTTACAGCAAAAATTTACAATGATTTCGTACGTATATTCATATATATATTATATACATATTTGCCTTTATATAATCCTAATTGGTACAGTCGAAGGTGGTTGCGTATATACAATGTAGTTTATTATTATAATAGAAACCTTGTACTTGGATGGTTTTTCACGCACTTACCTGTACCAAAAGGTCTTATTTAATTCAAAAATAGTTTGATAATTTCACAGGTGATTGGATAGTACAGACATTGTAACTAGTCATAAAAAAAACGTATCTTATATACATTCATGCACAAAAATTTATTTAAAAAATATGTAATGATAACGACACTGGTAGGTACCCTGTATGGAAAATGAGATGTGTCGTGTATGAATTGAAAAAGAGTTGGATTAATTTTATACCTATGAGTACCGAAACACAGTAAAAATGCCTTATAAATTTGTAAAATGTGCACGATAGCCGAACAATTGTAATATAATACATCACGTATACTAACCCAAACAAGTATTTTATTAAGATACACGCATAGGCGATTACGCAAAAAAAAAAAAAAAAAAAAAAAAAAAATGAGAAAAAAGAAAATTAATGGATCCCTGTGGGTCACGTATGTCTGTGTTACAGGTCGGCCCTGCAGACGCTGCACAAGGTATCGAGCAAAGCGCGCGAGCAAAACTACTTTCTCAGTGGATTATCGCACGACTGGGTCAGCTACTATGAGCAGCGCATCGAGAGCGATCGCTCGTGCCTCAACGAGTGGCACGCGATGGATAATCTCGAGTCCCGGCGGCCACCCTCGCCCGACAGCGTGCGAAACAAGTGAGTCGTTCCCTCCACATCCGCACATATTATTAATATGCTCTTTAACAACTATACCTACTTATTATACATGTACATTTCACGTTTATCATACACGTACTGGATTTCTGTCTCCTCCTCAGCGTGTCCTATCTCTTTTTTTTTTTTTTTTTTTTTTTTTTTTTACCTATGCACATTGCCCAACAGCACCTCTCTCGTGTGTATATATATTATATCCATTACACCCGGTGGCTGCTGAAAAGTATAGCCTTTCTTCTCTCGGGTATAACGTGGAAAACACTGTTCCCTTTGAATCTCGTTGAACTCTCGTGTATAGTATATGAGAATTTCCAATGCGCCCCGTCTATTCCGTGCGCATATAAACTTATTTACGGACTACATGTAGCTGTCGCGGAATGCGCCCTCGCTGAATTTCAGATGGGAGATATATTATTTACCTACAGGTCGTGCCATTTTTTTCCATTTTTCGCTGCAGTCGATTTCACCTGTCACCACATTTGACAGTCGTACCTCGGATCTGTGTATGGGACCTTCGTATAAAGAAAAATAAACAAATAAACAATAAAGATAACAAGAGATGGAAATCCAAACCGTGTGAATATCACCGGTTCGTCTCGAAATGGAAATCCAATGAAGCGGTCCAAAGATAAGAGTTTTCTCACCTACTCCTGCGCCAGACTGACCCTCCCGGTAGTCTTTTTGTACGCGTTTTCACTCGGTCGATTTATGCACACACTGGAGCTTGGAAACGAACCAGCCGAGTATCGGAGGAAAAAGTCCCTCGGATAGTATTTAGTTTTACTTGGCCAGAGCCAGATTGTACCTATACATGCTTCTCGTTTCTGTTGACGCTTCTCCTTCCCGGAGCCCGCCCTCAAGGGTACACATATATATATACATCGTTGGCCTCGCTCGCATTGCTATCATTACCATTATTTTCCAGAGATGGGGCGTGCGGGGTCTTTTTTTCTCTCCCTTGCTAATTCGCAGTTCTCGCTACCACGGTGTGCGGCTAATATTGCTTTGTTTTTCCGATACTCGTTTTTTGATCATTGAAAGTCGACTCACCGGCTGGTATCTTACTGAAGTTAAAATTTAAGCAAATTTAACTTTTTTGGCCGTTTTCGCTGTTTTTTCACTACCCTTTTTTTTTTTTTTTTATAATTATTTCGGTACTCGGGCATACTTGGGGCAAAATTTCAGTTAAATGTCCCTTGCTTTGTATGGTAAGGTTTGAGCGGCGATCGGGTAATGAGGATGATTTGTTGTTGCTCGCCAGGCCGAGGGAGAGAGAGGAGACCGAGCGGGTGATAAGGGCGACGCTCAAGGAGATCATGATGTCGGTGGATCTCGACGAGGTCACCTCAAAGTACATACGGGGCAGACTCGAGGAGGACCTCGACATGGACCTCGGCGAGTTCAAGTCGTTCATCGATCAGGAGATGCTCACCATTCTCGGGCAAATGGACGCGCCCACCGAGATATTCGACCACGTCTACCTCGGTAGCGAGTGGAACGCCAGCAATTTGGAGGAATTACAGAAGAATGGGTATGTGTGTCTGTACATCTCTCGTTGGATCGATCCGATGACTAATCAAAATGAATGGCGTGCTTGCAGGGTGAGGCACATATTGAACGTGACCCGGGAAATCGACAACTTTTTTCCGGGGATGTTCAACTACTTGAACGTGCGCGTCTACGACGACGAGAAGACGGATCTGCTCAAACATTGGGACGACACGTTCAAGTACATAAGCAAAGCCAAGAAGGAGGGCTCGAAGGTCCTGGTTCACTGCAAGATGGGTGTCTCGCGTTCCGCCTCGGTCGTCATAGCTTACGCGATGAAGGCCTACAACTGGGACTTCTCCCAGGCTCTCAGACACGTCAAGGAGAAGCGCAACTGTATCAAGCCGAACAACAGTTTTCTCCTGCAGCTCGAGACCTACCAGGGCATACTCGACGCGATGAAGAACAAGGAGAAGCTCCAGCGCTCAAAGTCGGACACGAATCTCAAGTCGCCGGGCAGCAACGACAAGTCATCGTCGTCGTCGTCATCTTCCTCGTCGTCCTCGTCGTCGTCGTCGCCTCCGAGCGGCAATGACAAGAAGAACGAGGACAACATGCGGATGGACAGCAACGTCGTTGGTGCTGGCGATGGCAACGGCAATGGAGCTCTGTTGCTGCTACAGTTGGGAGATGACGACGACAGCGCGGGACAAACGGAGGAGCAGTCGGGCGCCGAGCTCAAAAAGACCGGCCAGAGGCCCAAGAGTTGGTCGCCCAACGCCGAGCTCACCGGGGACGTCCCTCCTGCAGGTAGGTCCTTTTTACACTTTTAAAACGATTCAAAAACGAAACTTACGTCCCATTTGTTTTCCCCACAGCTCCTTTATCGCAGTCCTTGGAGAGCATCGACAAGTCGGCGAATCCCGAGGTGACGCGCGAGGACCTGATGCGCTGCTCGAGCGCCAAAACAAACGCCATCAACGCGATGAACAACAACCACAAGAACGGCTGCGAGCGCGGCACCTCGCAGACAGAGTCGTCGCGCAACGTTCTCATGCCCTGCGACAACGGCCAGTCGTACAGCGTCTCGCAGAACCAGATCGTCCACCTGCCCGGGCCGGAGACGACGAGCGCCGGTTGCGCCTGCAAGCACGGCCGCATCGACGGTAGCAACAACAACAGACTCGAGAAGCGCAAGGGCCTGGTGCTGAACCTAACGAATCAGTTCGAGGCGGCGAGCAGCAAGCCTTCGTCGCCGAGTTCCGACACGGAGATGAGCGCTGGAGGTAGGCAGCAGAGTGGTAGTCCAGTCGTCGAGAATGGCTGCTGCGGCCACGAGGACGTCGAGTCCGCGACCGAGTCGAGCGAGATGCAGACGCAGCCGACTGGTCGGTACCTTATAATTTTTCTTTATTTCTTTTGTTTATTTTTTTGAGAGTTACTGTAACGCCATTGTTTTCCTTTGCGTTAAATAGGTGGCGATTGTCTAGTCTGGACGGCGTCCACCGAGGTCAAGTGTATCCAGACCAACGGCAGTGGTCTCGAGCTGGGCACCGACGTGGAGCCGACGAGTCAGCCTGGGCGCAGAGCGCCAAAGAAGGAAGGCGATCCCTTCAGTGCCCAGCTCGACCGAGTGTTTGAGCGGGAGGAGGGCCGAGAGCCCCAGCAGCAGCCGCCGATAATACTGCGCGAGTCACCGAGTCGTCAGAGTAGTTGGAGCAGTTACGACAGCGCGGTGGCCATGGACAATAGCTCGGTGCACAGCTCGTGGGCGACGCTGCCCTCGAGGAACAGCTCGTGGGGTTCCTACGACATGCGGCCCGGTGACTCTCTGGGTTCCAGCGGTATTTTCCCGTACGATCGCGAGGAGATACCTTGGCACCCGGGTACCGTCAAGCGCACCAAACAGAAGCTCGAGGAGAGCTCGACCGGTATGCATGACTTTGCCAGACGATTGCTTTTACGTTTTTTTTTTAACAAATGTCAAATTCGTTGTTAATAAAAGTACCGTTTATTTTCAGGTACGTCGAAGCGAGTGTGTACCCAGTCCGAGCAGACGACCGACGACAAGTCGACTACCGACGTTGAAGTAGAAAATCCCACCGAAGCCTACAGCAACGCTGCTCTGCTTAACTACAACTCGTCGCCGACTCCTCGGCGGAGGGATGCCTCGCCCGAGCAAGTCCAGCCACAGCAGCAACGCGTCAGCACGACACCTCCTCGCAGCACAAGTTCCGGTGGAGCAGCGACCGCCGTCCCGATCGACATATCGCTCTCTTCGTCCGCGCGACGCCGAGCTGCCTCCTCGAATGGTGGCAGTAGTGGTGCGAGCCGTCTGTCGACCAGCGCCCCTGCGCCCTCGTCTCTGTCGGGTGGTTGCGCCGGTGACGCCGAGCTCGTTCCCTCGGCGTTGCGCAGCTGCAAGTCCGAGAGCGAGACCTCGAGCCAAAGCGTCGTCGACACGCCTCAGTGTCCCTCGGTCAAGCACCACAAGATGGTTCTCGAGAACCTGTGCAACAAGCCCCTCTTCAAGAAGCGCGGCCTCCCGACGAGCACGAGCGCACCTGGGCCCGCCACGGACCCGGAATCGCCCGAGTCCGAGTGCCCGCCGCGCAGCACCTTCGGCATCGTCAAGAATCTCAAGAAGGAATTCGAGGCCAAGTCGTCGAGCCGGCTCGAGCGCAGTCCCGACAGCAGTGCCAGCAACTCCGACGCGACACAGCCGCAGGACAACTGCAGGGATCGCCAGAAGAGGGACGCCAAGATACGTAGCCTGCCCTCCTCGCCCGTCATACCGCGCAGCGAGTCCAAGATCCAAGCGCCACCGAGCATATCGGGCGAGGCGACGCGCGCGAGCTTTATTGCGTCCAAGAGGTGCAGCGAGCCACTGCCGTCGACGCGACCCAGCACATTCGACGAGGACAACGGAGCCGTGAGCAGCAGCCTCGAGGACCTGTCGGTCAAGGTCCTCGTGGGCAAGTACGAGGTGGCCAAGCCGACAGCCCGACTCGGTGAAGTCCAATTGCGCACCAGCTCTGCCGCCCAGCAGCAGCAATACAACAATCATCGGTCCGAGCAGGTGGTCGAGCACCCGCCTGCCAAGTTCAAAATAGCTCCGGATTTGTCCCGTCGCTCGGCCCCGATGATCGTCAGCCATCACGCGGCCTCGCTCTTCTGCGACTCGGGAAGCGCGAGTTCGGCGGCGGTCGAGGCACCGGGACGGCCACCCTCGGTACCCTCACCCAGCCAAGTTGTCGAAAGCGTGATAGCAAAGGCCGCGAGCCGGAAGCAGCAGCACGGCCGGACCCAGCAGCACGGACGGACCCATCCTTTGGCGAGGCTGCAAGTAAGGCCCAGGCACAGCAGTCCCGTCTACAACACCATGTGAAATGAAAGCAGACTTGTCGGGAGGGTGAAGAACGGGCCCGCGAGCCGATGCTTCTTTGGCTTCTCAAGCAGTGATTATGTGACCATGTGTTTACGTGTATACCTATGTAGTATGTGTATTTATGGATTTTTTTTTTTTTTTTTTTTTTTTTTCTTACTGATTCCTGTGAGACGACGTGAGAAATGAACCACGTTAAATTACAAGTGTGATCTCCTCAATAAAAATGAACCTAGAGCTAAGTTATTAATCATCGGTGAGCGTAATTTTAAAATAAGTCGTGCGAGAGAGAGAGAGTGGACGGTCATTTTTTGTTTGATCTGAGGCTTGGTGTTGATTGGTGATTTATACTTTTTGGGGTGAAATTTAAAAGCTACTTTAATTTCTTGCTTGTTTTTGTACTGTATTTTGGGAGAGGAGAAAATTGTAAATACCAGGATAAAATGTAAAACATTAATTGTACATTAAAAAAAATCTGTACTCGAATATAACATGATCATGCAAAGGAAAAAGTATCTATTTCAAATCAACAAAAAGCGTTATTGTCTGTTTGGTGTTTTGTTATTTTTTTGTGAGTGATTGTCGTGACTCAGAGCATAGATTTTTCGTTAAGACCAACCGGTGATGCCAATTATGTTAGCGACGATGAAAGTCGCGTTATCGTGAAATTGTACTGTCATTCTAAAGTCTGGCTAAGATAATTTATACTCTTACAAACTTTACATCCTCAGTAACCAAAATTTGATTGTATAATTACATTGAACATAAAGCATTACAAGTTAAGATTTTATATGTATTAAATTTTATCAAGTTTAATCGATACTTTTGACAAATAAAATACTAATAATTTCTGATTAACTGTATTCAGTAGCCAAAATACAATATACTGCCATTTTACGAATTTTTACGCATGGCAGTCTCATTAAACGGTCATTGACGAAAGCTGCAGAGAGAGAGAGAGGATTGCTGGTATGAAATCACTAATGTGTAACTGTAAATAAATTATGAATAAGTTGGAAAAAGTTTGCTTAATTAAACTGGATGACTAAAAAAAAAAAAAATTGTGTATCATTCAAAAGTGAATTATGATATGATTAATTTCTATACGTATGTAATGACTGTAATTTGCCGTCGAAAGTAAGCAAATGATGATAAAACGATAAGCGAAGTGACGTGTGTGGAAACGATATTTTCGGACCTTTCAAAGCGAAAGGTGCAGTGAGCGCCCGGTCAGGCTGTGAATGTAAATGTCCGGGTCTCGCTTGGACTTCTGGTCTGTTTTTGTTTTTTTATAAAATACGAAAAGAAAAAGGATTTTTGAAAAAGTAATGAGTCACGTAAAGCGAGAAGTGCGTCCCCGATGTTGTGCATCGAATCGACACGTTCAACTATTAAACTATTAGCAATTTTTTTTAGCGAGCAATGTGATGAGTTGGCAAGACGTGCACGCCGAAAAAAAAGGCGTGCAAGTGTTGTTAGACAACGTGGTAGCACAAGATGCGACATGAAAGAGTTGCAATCGCAGCAAGCGATTTGCGACCAGACTATACATATAGATGTAGCAGGCGAGAGCTTTAAATGCAAACTGTTTCAGTTATTATTTGAAAAGCTGCTTTTGACTTATTGGTATTTCTTTGTGTTGATGCTTGCATCTTGTACAGTGATTACGCATGTTTGAAAGTTCAGAAAAGCAAATTAACTTATTTTGTTTTTTATGAAAATGCGCAACGTTCCTAATCTCGATATTATTTGTCAGATAAACTTATTTTTTAGAAAAAAACAGTTGCGGTAGATAGATTCTCGAGTTATTTCAATCAATTTGATTCGATTAAATAGATCCTTTGAATAATGTAAATAAGGTGTCACTAAACGAACGTGAAACCTAGATCAATAACTATACACAGTCTCTCTACTTGTAATTCATTAAAAGAAGGAAACTTACCACGCTACTTTTTGTATATTACATTATATCGTAATTGTATTATAAGTAATTATTATCGAATGATCAACAGAAGTAGTTAGCAAATGAATGTTCAAATCGGTAGGATTACTTTCAAAGCTGCAGTCGAATTATTTATCGTGATTCTCGAAAGCCAAAAGTACAAGCCTTTATCGCGAAGAAGAAGAAAAAAAACCGGAGGGTGCTTAGCTCATTGATGAATAATACATAGTAAACAAAAAAAATATACAATTTTCTACTTTGTATCGTCGAAAATATTTTTTCAAGCATATCATCACTATGTCGCCATTATTGTCGTCATTCAATGTAATATATCTACATTTATTGGTTGTAATTCCTATTTAAGCGAAAAATCGACTGGGTGTAATAGCGTTTTATCGCAACGAATCATTGCAGAACGAACAAAAATGTCTTTTGAGTGGACTTGATTGTGGACGAGACGAAGAGACAAAAACGATGTCAGGGTCATGCATACGCGCGGACTAACGACCAATTTTTTTACACACTACTTGACAAAAGTAATAAAAAATAAAAAAAAAAATATAAAAAAAGAAAGAGAAGCGTTTCTCATAGTCGATACGATAAATCTACGAGTTTTTCTTTTCTTCGAAATCGCTGACAATGACTCTATTTTATTACTGCGCGACGATTCCGAGAACAAAAAAAAACGAACTACTATGTGTAAAAAAAGGTAGAGTGTAATCGATATCAAAGATTATCAAAGTCTAATATCTGATGATTGATCGTTTAGAAGTAGAGAAATCGCCAATATGGACCGGCAACTTTGGTTTTTTTTTAAATCTTTCCTTTGAGCTGTAGTTTCGAGAATAGCCAATCGTCGCTAATTAGAGACTAATGATATTACCCACTTACTCGTTTATAAGACTGGAATGCGATTTGGAAAGAGCGCCAATATATTTCGTGTCATTTTTCATCTTTTCATCAAGACCACTGTCTGTAACTCTAACAAATTATATTGTATGCCTTTTTCAATTGGACGAGAAAGAGGATTATTTCTATGAAACGACTTTATCAATTTGTTAACAAAATGATGCCTACGCACTTTTCGAATTTTTTTCGTCTATATCCATCCATAATTCGATTATTTTCTACTGAGCTGGAAATCAAGTTTCTAAAACTTTGAATTGACACGCTTCTTTTTGTGATGCTATTCTATTGAATAAATATTCTTTCCATATCCTGTCCCGCTTGGAGAGGAAGAGTAAAAAATGTGTGCGCGTCTTACATGCGATAATGAAGCTGCTGTCTTGAGCAAATAATACGACGTATTGAAAAATAGAAAAAAAATCGTGCGTTGTTTGTGTATAAATTTTGTACCATAGTTTGTATTAAATAAAAATGTTTATTGCTTGACAGAATTTTGACTTTTTCTTTTTCGATTTCCTTCTTCAATAATATATATCTTATAAATAATGTGTTTTTAAATTTTATATTTTTCGTAAGGTAACAAAAATTTTATGCTTTATTCATGTTATAATGAATCAACTCAACCACAAAATAATCAAAATAAGCTACTTACGTATATATTTTGAAAGACATTTAAAACATCTCTGCTGTTGATGAATATTAAAAAAAATCGAACGAAGTTACTTTAGGTCTTTTTTTTTAGTAGGTATGTATTTTATCTCACGATTAAAAATTCAATCAGTTTTCATTAGATGTAATAAATATATCGCATACAATTAAAAAAAACAGCTTATTTATTAAATCAAAATTTTTTTTTCGGTATCACGCTCAAACGCTGCCAATATAAAAAACTTGTCTGTATACAATTTTTACACATAAATATAAATGGTAATTTGAACAAAATCTGGAAGAGAAGAACAGGTATACTTTTTTTTCCAAAACAATTTTACTTTCACTGTACGTTGAAGTAAATGAAAAATCATTTATGTCTTTTAGACCCTCGTACGGAGGGAGAAGAAAGCCCGATAACTCAAATTTCTTTTCATGTCTTCTTTTGAATTATTATCGTTTTCCCATTTACATAATAATTACAAAAGTATTTAAATAACTTCAATTGTGTAATATAGCTAATAAATACAGTCAGCAAGGTGATTGTTATTTTTTTTTAACTATCATTTATTAGTGTATTTTGTTAACTCGTTTGAAGAACTACAAATGTTATTCAAAATGTCTTAAAAAATTCTTAATGTTAAAGAAAAAAATTTTTTTTTTAATAAAATACATTTATACATCTATCAAAAACAAGATAAAAGCATGAAAACAGTACAAGGTGCTGTTACGTGGGAAAGAGGAATTTAAGTTAATTGCAAGAATTTAAAGGGATGTTAATTGATCTTTTAGTATAATATGGGTAAAAAATTAAGTACATTTTTTAATCAAATAATTTTAATTCTATATTTTCATAATCAGGTGTTTATTTTACTAGTAATTCGTTTTAATTGAAAAAAATTTAAGGTAAGTTAATATACATCATGAAAATGAATCAAATACAGTTTGTTTTTACACAAATAGCTCATGAATAAAAAGTTCTATGTTTTTCAAGAAAATGTGGTGGAATATATTATATGGTCGAAGTCTACTGTATGTGCAACTAATTGCATAAAATGAAGTTGAATTACAAAGAAGTAAAAGTATCGACAATTGTTTTTACAGGAAAAATTCAACATTTTCATAAATCATTTTTGAATAAATTAATAGCAAATATAAATACAATTTAGTAAGCAACAGTAAAAGTTACTCTAAAATAATAAATATAGACCTATACATTTTTTCGATGTTTTACAAAAATATAATTTTTAGCTTTAACAGTAATTGTGGCAAGATTTTAATAAGTTTCCGTTTCTTCACAAGCCTGGGTGTCATGCCCAAACACTGTAAATAAAAAGTTTGTTAATAAATATATAAAAAATCATTAGAAAAAAATTTACAAAAAATAAACGCACTTTCGCAATTGTCACAGTATGGTCTTTGAGCAAGTACTTTTTTATCAGTTTTTACAGGTGCAGGTGGGTCGGGATCTTGATCTTGTTGAGGACAATCTTCCGTTTCGTGTAAATCAAATTGATCGCAAATATCACAGAACATTCTAGGAGGTTGCGATTTCTTTTCAATTAAATTACTAAAAAAAAAAAAAAATTAGAAATGTCATGAATACAAGTCGGAGTACTATGGTTATTGGAAAAATAGCTGCTTACTAATTATAATCGTCAGCTTCTTGAGCAGGAATACCCATTTCAAGTACTTGAATTTTGCAAGCCATCTTTTCATTTTTACGCTGCATGTCGACGATGACAGAGTTCAGAAATTCTATTTGGCCCTTAGCTAAGTCATGTTCTTCTTTTAGTTGTTCAAAATCCGACGTAGCGCTTTTCATGATTGGTTCAGTCTTTTGATTGGCTACTTTATGGTTTGTTTTATCATTCTGAAAGTAATTTTTATTGAATGGAAAAACAAGTAATTTAAATACAAAGTTTAAATACAATTGTACTCACATTTGTGCTATTTTTCAACTGTTCATTAGTAATATTTAACTTTGCCACTGCCTCATTGTAACTCTTAGATAATTTTTTATTTTCTTTCTCTCTGAAAAAAAAAAAAAAAAAAAAAAAAAATTACAAATGAATATCATTTTAAGTGATTTAGTTAATTTTTTTGTTTACGATTCTCACAATTGTCTTTGAGATTCCTCCAACAGTTTTAATTTTTCATTTTCATAGTTAATTTGACCCACTAGGTTTTGTATCCTCTCTTCCAATTCATTTTCTGAGTTCCTAAGGTCAGCAATTACTTTATCCCTCGACTTAATATCACCTACATGTTTTTTTATAATATCTTCAATGGCTTTTTGTTTTTCTTCATAATCGTGCATCATTTTCTTTGTTGCTTCCTCCGTTCGTTTTAAATCGTCCAAAGCTTTGTCTTTCAAACCAACATCTTTCTCATACCTTTTTAACAAATCTTCAGTACAAGTTTGCTTACTCAACAATTCTTGTATTGATTTCTCTTTACTATCTCCAATCTTTTTTAACTCGGCAATAGCAGCGTCTTTAGAAGCAAGCTCCTGCTCGTGTTTTTTCAATAATTCATCTAATTCTTTTTGTTTATCTTGACTACTGATACTAACTTGATCCTCACAGAGCTTTTGCAGTTCAGTTATTTTGTTTTCCAACTGAACCATCAGCTCGGTTTTATTCACTAAATCACTTTTCAAGGTATTAATATTGGACTCTAAACTTTTTTCCCTTTCACCAAGAGACGATATGCGATTAGCATTAGAAGCGATTTCTTTATCCTTACCCGATACATCTTCTTGCAAAGTTTGGATCTGTTGCCTCATCGAATCACTATTTTCTCTCTCACTACCCAAATTATCGCTCAAAACTTGCACTTCTTTTTCCTTCTGCGATACCACATTCTCCATTTCCATGCATCGCTGATTCAATTTCGCATTATTTTCCGAGCTTAAAACTAATTCCTTATTCAATTCATCTAGATGATTCTTTGATTCTTTCAAGGCCGTATCCAAAGTACGCTTCTCATCCTCGAGCTGCTGTTTCAAATTGGCCACTTCCAGTGCCATTTGAGATTCCAAATTAACATTGGACGATTTGAGCAGCGTCAGCTCCGTGAGAGCATCGTTGTACTTGTTACTAATTTCAGCCAAAGACTTTTTGGCCTCTTCCCTCTCGCTCTTTAAATTCTCTAAGCCACTAGTAAGCTCCTTGATCTGCGCGTCTTTATTTACAACAACACTATCTAAATCTACAGCACGCTGTTTCATAGCGTTCAAACTATCGTTAAGCTCCTTTATGGTTGCATCCATGGACTGTTTGTCGCTCAACAACTGTGCGTTTGATTTTTCTAAACTATCGAGATCGCTCCCTTTTTCGTTAATCTGCTGCTCGAGCTTGCCCAGCTGCAACTTTTCGCTCTCGCATCGCTCGCGAGCTTCAGCCAGTTCTTTCTCGAGCCTGGCGTTGTTTTCCCGATGAGTCTCGAGGGAACTCGTCAGACCCGCCAACTCCGAGGATTGTTTCTTCAAACTTTCCTGGAGATCGTTGTTCTTATCAACCAGTTCTCGCTCGACGGCCTGGCTCGCGGCGATTTTTTCGAGAGCATTTTGCGTTGCCAGTTTTTCCGACGCTACCTGCGTCTTGAACACCTCGTTTTCGGATCTAAGCTGCTCCAACAGAGAGTTGGCTTTGCCCAGACCCTGTTCAACGTCATTTGCCTTGGACTGCGCAGCTGCTAGTGATTTCTGCAGTTCGAATTCGCGCTCGCGAGCTTTGTCGAGTTCCTTTTCCTTTTGTCGCAAGTCTTCGCTGTACTTGACGAGTTTGTCCGAAGAGTCGACCGATGTGCTGACCACACTAGAAATTTCAGCTTCCTGTAAAAACAAGAGCAAATTATCATTGATGCAATTGTTGCGTTGGAAGAAAGAAGCATTTGATTTAGGTCGAACGTAGCTGACCAGTTTTTCTTTTTGGCTCGTCAGCTGTGAAATTTTTTCTTCGGCTCTGCCGAGCTTTTCCGTAAGTTCAGATACGTTGGCTTCGTACATGCGCAATTCGCTCTCTAAATTGGTTTTGGTCTGTTCGGATAGACTCAGGGTGTCTCTCAATTCTAAAATCCAAAATATCGAGCAAACATATTTGATGTTAATAAAAAAACAATAATGTTTACGATGTGATTACCTGATGTCTTTTCGGAGAGATTTTTTATCTCTTCAACCTTATTTTCTATGATCGACTTCAAGCTGTCGAGCTCCTTTTCGAGAGCACTGAGCCCCGACGATTTCTGAGAGACGTCAGCGGTAATACTTTGAATCGTTTTAATTTTATCACCCATCTGTTCTTCAAATTGCCTTTTCATAATTTCTAGCTCCTCAGTTTTGGAACTCTGAATTTTTGCCAGTTCCTCGTCCTTCGCTTTAATGCACTCTTCTAACTTGCTCAGCTGCTCTTTCAATCCAGTATTTTTTTCCATCAATGAAGCAACATCGTCTTCCTGAAAACAAATACATCACCGCCATCATTCCAATTCAACGATCAACGCCCATGGGGTAGTTTGCAAAAATGTACCAATTTAGTTTTCTGATCCGCAAAAGTTTTGACTTCCATTTCGTGCTCACAAACCATTTCATCGATTCGTTTGCTCAGAGACGCGTTTCTCTCGTCGGAATCTTTCAACTTGGTATTCAAACCTGAACAACACCAATTTCAGCTTAATCCAATCGTAATGATAAAAAAAAAAAAAAAAATCATCCTTCCATACGTACCCTCGAAGTCAGCCGAAATTTTGTTAAATTTGTCCTCCTTCTCCGCGCACGCATTCTTCAGCTGCTCCAATTCGCCAGAAAACCTCTCGGCGTCCCTGGCCTTCCCTTCCAGCTGCTCGATTTGCGAGTCCCGCGAGCTCAGCTGCGACCTAAACGACTCCGACAGCTCTTGAATTTGCAGAGCACTCTCCGCCTTCAGTTTCTCCAAAATACCCTCCTGCGTGGCGAATACCTTCCGCGACTCCTCCTTCAGTTCCGAGGACTTGCTCCTCACGAGCTCCTCCTTCTCCCTCAACGCCCTCTCGTGCTCCTCGACCAGCCTAGCTGTTTCCACCCTGTTACTCTCGGCGATGCTCCCGATGCTCCCTTTGAGCTGCCCGATTTCCTTCCGCAGCTCCTCCGTCTGGGTGTCGAAGCTGTTCCGGAGCTCATCGACGTAGGCGCACTTTTCCCTAAGCTCCTTGGCCGTGGCATCGAGCTGCTTTTGCAAATTCGACCTGCACTCCTCCCAACGCGACTGCTCCTTTTCGTTTTCTTCCTGTCTCTTGCGCGCCTCCTCCAGCGACCGGCTCTTCTCCTCAACGAGCTTTGCGAGCTCAACTTTCGCCCTTTCCAGCTCCTCGGCGCGTCTTTGTACATCTTACAAGTGTTTGGAACGTATAGTTGCACAATCAATGATGATTTTGAGCGACATATGTACAGAGCCAACTCACCGAGAAATTCGCTCTTCTCCCCCGCGGTGGTACTCCGGGTTTCGAGTCTCAGCTTCGTCAGCTCCTCCTCGGCCTCGAACAGCTTCGTGCCGTCTCGCTCGAGCTGTATCACCCTCTCCCTTTCCTCCGAAAGTTGCTTCTCCAGCTCCTTGATTTTGCTCTCGTATTTCGCATTTGTCACCTGGTTTCGAGGGAAAAAGTTCGTAAAATCATGGATTTCCCGCGAAATCGTATTTTTTTTTTTTTTTTTTAATCAACACAGAGGACATCGGAATGTATCAGCGATATCGAGAAGAAACATAACGAAAAAAAAAAAAAAAGAAAAGAAAACAAAAATCGTGTATATCAAAAGCAGTGTGTTTAATTCATACTCTCTATGAAAAATAATAAGTTTGAGAAAATACAGTATTATTTGCAATCAAAAGAAAAAAAAACTTTTTCGACTTAAGTGTAACAAAAATTAAAAAAAAAAAATCATACACCATATGCATCTTACACCAACCAAAATCCTTTGGAAGTACAGAACCAACCAAACAAAAAAAAAACAAAAAAAAACAACAAAAAAAAGTATAGTAAGTACAGCTAATACTTAGTACCTAGTAGAGCAATTACACAATATTCAAGCATCAAACAACGTAATGTTGTTTCAAAGCAGTGCGCGAGAAAAGCTCGTCAAAAGTGCAACGTACATACATACACACGTAGGTACATCTATGTTAAACGAGAAAAAGCAAAGAACGCAGCTACAAGCAAAGAGAAAACGTAAAACTCTGAGGGAAGCGAGTTTGATAATGCAGGTGGATTCAGAAAAATCGTGACGAAGCAAGCCGTGCAGAACATAATGGTGAGCGTGTCCTCGCACCCGGTGGATCGGCAGTGTATACTCACAAGTTGGTCGCTGGAGTCGTTCTGAAAATAAATGAAAAACGAAAATGTTTGCCTAAAGTTAGTTCACTGCATGTATTGACTGGAGGGCCTCGCTCGTATACAGTTCAAGTTAAAGCTTCATTTAGTACTATTAATCTAAACCGGGTGATGGTTATTTTTTGTATTACTTGGCGCATCAACCCACCACTAAAACCGGTTATTAATTAAATTGTAAAAAAAGCTCCTTCAATTGTTATTATAAAAAAAATTAGTTTGTGGTGTAACGAAAGCTTGGATTGAACTCGAGTTTCCTTTGTGGTGGTGATACAAAGTGACAAATGACTTTTCAAATCAACGGTTTCAACGATAGCAAACAATGGAAAGTTAATGACGTGGGTGACACTAAAAATATTGGCATTCGTTAAAATATATGCTTCGATGAGTCCATTACAAGTTATTCGAGCCACTACAGCAGCCACCTCCACCTGACTACTATATGTATGCATTAATAAAAAGTTTCAAAAAAAAGGGGGGGGGGGGTCAAAGGGTACAAGTGCAGGTCTCGCGAATAAAAGAGGAAACAACTGTACTCGCACATCATATGGACAATCTGCGACTCTTGTGCAATTTTAATTTACGTATACCACCTTTGAGCAGACAGAGACAATAAACACCTCCGTACCTGTACGTCGTCCTTGTGTATCGATTCCTCCTCGAAGCGGAACAGCAGGTCCTCGCATTTCCTTCGCTCGTCCTCCAACTGCGCGCTCAGGTGTTCCTTCTCCTCCAAAAGTTTCGCCAACGCGCTCTGCGTCTCCTGGGCGGCCTTTTCCGTCTCTTCGCAGTACTGAAGCGACAATCGTCAAATTAATACAAAACTACGCGGCTCAATTTTTTCGAGAAATACTCCCGATATGGGCGCGTCCGTACCTCGGCAAACTCTTTCTTCAGGGCCGTGGTGATCTTTTCAGCCTCGTCCGCCTGGCTGGCGGCCTTTGTCACGCGCTCGCGCTCGAGGTCCCGCTCCCTGCGCAGGATCTCGATCTCTTTTTGCCTGTCCTTCAGCAGGTCCTGGAATCATTGCAATTTTCTTAGCCAGTCTTGGCTTTCTGTGTGATTTTTTTCCCACTCGTGTTTACATGGATACAATGGTTCGTCTGTGGGCAGCGAACTACTTTACTAACTACGGACAATTACTTTTTGCAGGACATCCTTTTTTGTTTTTTTTTTTTTTCTCGAGGTTTCACTTTTTTTTTTTGCTTATTTGTCAGAATATTAAGTACTTTCTACAACAAACGATAACTAAAGTAAAAAAAAAAAAAAAAATACTACATTTCTTTCTAAAATTATATGAAATATATACAGCTACGTGTCTACGAAGCGAGGAAGAAAAAAAGAAGAAATTTCCGCCAAAAGTTGGAAATTGGTGAAAAAATCAACTCTTTATGCAAATAGATTTATTCAACAGTGTATAAAGTTGATTACATTTTTCATTGCTGAAAAAGTTTATGGGAAAAATGTGAGTGTATAGGATAGTTTATTGTTGAAAATTATTCGATAACATACATATAATTTTCTGGCACATACAAAATAATTACCCTAAATGTTACAGCCTCGTTTCTACGTCAATGGTTACACAACTGATCAATACTTTTTCTACTTAACATTACTCTCCAAAATATACAACCAACTGTACAAGTTTAACAAATTGATATCTACACTTTTCCAATACAGAGCTGCCATCTGCACCGTATTTTTTTTTTTAACCAATAACCAATTTTCCAACATAGATATACTGCAATCCTTTGTTAAAGTTAATTAGATTATTTTTCCACATGCACTTTATGTATAAGCATAATAATACTCAATTCAGGCGGTCAAATATTGCTGAATCTATGAATGAAGCTTGAACGTAACGTGTCATGCGTCAGTGTCGAAAAATATAAACTACAATTGCAATAAAACTAAAAAAAAAAAAAAAAAAAAAGATTAGTTAACTACTCCGTTACACTATAGTTGTATGAAATTATTCAAGAGGCCAGTAATCGTGTATTTTTTTTGCCGATCACGTACCTCATTAAATGTAATTTTATAAAATTATTATCAAAACCATTATTTTGTTGTTTAGAAAAAAAGAAAAGAAAAAAGTAGCAAATCAAAGTTGTTGTAGTAATTATTATCATTTACCAAAATACACCGTAAAAATCATGATAAATGTCATTTTGTAGTTCTTTCCGGTTGAACAATAAATACGCCATACCCACCTCTTCAGCAGATAGCAATCGGATGGTTGAACCTGCGAGTTTAGGAAGTACAAGGGATATCATAATTTTATTTATACACAAGGCAAAGAAAATCAGACGGACAATAGGAAAAAGCAAAGTATCCGCGTAACGCACATTACAAACAATTATTATTTCGTTCACAGATTCAGCTTACGTCTATATATATGCTAGCAATTATTTTTCGTGCACAATTTTATTCGACATGGTAAACAATACATTCATGGCTTGTTCTAATGTACAATCTGGGTTACAAGGAATCACGCATGCCTCGACACAACTCTTATCCACCAGCAACCACAAGTACCATATACCCTGGGAGGGAAAAAAAAAAAAAATACCAAAAAAGATAAGGATGATCTCACCTGCGTCGTTTTTCGTACGGGTGTCGAGGTGCGCGGTAAGTTGGCCTTCTGTAACTGTTAAGACGGCACAAGTAGGTACTAAAAACAACTCAACATAACGACAAACAGTACAGCGGGTATGTAATGTCGCTTCCATGCAAGTTCTGCGTCTCGATGAGTAAACACGCGTGCCAATTATCAATGATAATATTAATTTGTAGCGTTACAGCATCAACGATGACGTGTATACAAGTATAAACACAAATGTACATATATATATATACATAGGTATTATTCGTAATTTGAGATCTCTGCTGCTGCTGAAGGGGCCCCTCCTTCATCATCGCAGTTGACTTTGATTATTACATATTGTACAACATGTCCACAACAGGGTTGGGCTTTTACTGCCTTTTCACATATTTTAATGTACAATAATCGTTTGTGTGTATACACATTGATTTTTTTTTTTTTTTTTTTTTTTAAGAAGACTCAACGTGGCACAGACCGGCTATACAACATTATTAGTTTTCGTTAGTGTCTATTTACAATACATTTTAAAGACGCGCGTAATTTTCCAAATAATTTACCCCTAAAAAAAAAACTAAAAGCCTAAAAAAAAAGAAAAAAAACTGTCTACAACTGAAACAAAAGACAAAAGACAAAACAAACCAACAGGTGTGCGGTTAGAAAGCACGTAAACATGGAGTTAAAACCCGGAGATCGTCGACACACGTGTGAGTACATAAAATGTAGACATAACAGGGAGAAAGGGAGAGTCATCTGGGGACCCTGGGAGCCCGAATAGACATGAGAGCTCTTCAGTCGGGCAGTGCGAATCTTACCCTGGAGCTGGCGGTGGACGCGGCGGTGGCCCGGCTGGCGATGCTGGTCGTGGTACTCGTCACCGAAGCCAGGGACTCGCGCGACCCTGCCCTGCTGCGCAGCAGCGACACGTTCAGGGACGCTCCCGTGGGCCTCTGCGCTTGGCACGTCGAGCGCCTGCTGGACGGAGATCGGCTCACCTTGTGCATAGGCGCGAACAAGCCATGCTTCGCCTTGCACTCAAAGTACCTGCACGCGGGGCATATATACCCATCGGGGCACGGAAGTTAGTTTTTTTTATTTTTTTATTTCTTTTCTCCACGTCTTAGGAGGGAAGTGGCGCGCGCTTCGCCGAGGAGGCACCCGCAACGCCGATCTACCGATCAGAGATTTTCTACGCACCGTCGGCGAAGCGCGCGTCATGTTAAATAATATATGTAGATCGTCACAGCACCTCTTGTCAGCGACGGAGCCGTCGTTCTTGCCGACTGGGTCGTCCAGCTCGACGCCGCACCAATCGCCCGGGGCGAATTCCGTCGCTCCCATGTACCTCAGCACGCCGGTCTTGCTGCCCTGGCTCGACGACACGATCACCCGTTCGCCGATCTGCAGCTCCTTCGTCGTCGTCGCTGTCGTCACCGTCGAGGCCAGACTCGTCGTCGAGGTGTCTGTTTGACGTGTAGGGGTCGGGACGAGGCACACACAGAGAGAGAGAGATCGGTAAAAATCGGTATGCATATACATCATAGGTATGGCGTTATATATTATATGTAGGCCTCGTGCTTAAACGAGGATTTAACGATGGCTATTACAATAAAGTGCCTATACTTATGGTGATAAAAACAATAAATGGGCCGGGGGTGTGGACGGAGGGAAGGTGTTTTTGTGCGTAATGCGCGTGCACATGCGTACATTGTACATGTGGGTTATTGCATCGTCATTGTTCTCGGCTATTTCATTATGCAACAATGGTGACGATGATAATCAGTGGTCGTTGGTTGCGAACCACCACAACTCGGTTGACTCAACTGTTATAGAGGCTTATTTTGTGCATCGTGCGTTTATTTAAACATATATGTATACGTACAAGGTGTATATGGAGATGCGTGCATAATGAGATTCGCTCTCTTGAGCAGCTGCACGGTTGCTTTGACATCGAGGCAAGGGGGGAGGAGGGAGTCGGTGTCTTTTGCCAGTCAATTAGAAGCTCCCCGTTATTTTTTATCCTTGAGCATAAATTCATGTTATCTCTTGGATACTTTTAACGCTCGGTTCGGTAACAATTTTTTATTTCTTTTAAACGTTTGATTCGGCGAGCATCCATTGCTCTGCTCCCCCATAAAGATACGCGAGTAGGCAATTTTACATGTGCGTGCAAAAATTGATTTTACGATTATGTTATCTTTCATAGTGACCTCGACTATTATTTGGACTGCATGCTGTTTGTCCACTATAATGTGCTTCGTTAGGAATGTGACTCGTTCCTAATTAAATTTGCGAATGTTAATTATCACGCGTTATCGAGTAGCCATTGTCTGAAACGCATTGAAATATACATGTCAAGGGGAAACAGAATTCTTTTGGCTTTTATACCGATTTTACAGAATAGAAGATATTATGTACCTATATATCGTTTCATCGACGACAGCCTAATCAAGAGACACGATTTTCGTGATTTTCTTTGTTTGTAGATAAAAAAAAAAAAAATTTGAGCCTTAATGGCACTGTTTTCTACACAAAATACTCCACCTGTGTTCTTGATAAAACAAAGCCCATGGTTTTTCCACTCAGACTTTGTGACTGTATACAAAAGCGTGGAAAGATAAGATTGATAGAGAACATGAACAAGAAAGAAAAAAAAAAAAAATTGCGTATGGACGTGAAAGTGCGCATGACAAATGTGATACCGATCCCATATGAAACAGGCACATGTACCTACATGTGATATACAAAATAGTAAAAAGCGCGGCAAGCATGTATAAAGAGTACGTGTGGGCGTGCGAGGGATGAACAAAAAAGTAAAAGCCATCAGGAAATAGGTGTACAAACACACATATGTATAGAGAAAAAAAAAATCACAGAGTACAAATAAAAAAAACCTATGAATAAATAAATCTACATCTATACGTAGCGTTGTCACAGACATATATATATACGTGTCTGTGAAATACATATATACCTACAACTGATCGCAAGTCATACATATAATATATAGTAAACAAAAAAGAGGACACAGGCAGTATAACGTGTGTTAGAGTTTCAGCGTTGAGAGCCGTACTTGGGCCGGAGCTTACTTAGCGAGGATTTGGCGAGGCCGGGCTTGTCGACGGGCGAGGACGCGCTGACGGGCGCAGGTATCGGCTGCCTCGTGAGCCGCGTCAGCCGTGAGAATATTCCGCGCTTTGGCTCGCACTGAAAGTAGCGACAGCCGGCCACCGATCCGTCGTTTTTACCTAAAATAGAACACGAGGCAGACAGACATACGAGTAATGCATGTGGTGATACGAGGGGTGTTGAAGAAAACAAAAAACAAAAAAAAAAAAAAAAACAAAAATCAAAGGAATGAGTGCTGACGTTGTACTGTATGTTTTTCGAGTGAAACAACTCTGCTTCGAAAACGAATGTTCATTCTTCGTTAATGTGTATCTGTAAACGAGCCATCACCATCCTGGCATGCATCGAAGTGAGCTCTCTTTTTATGGGCTATGTTATTGTCTTGCGTAACGGGCGGTGATAGTACCCGTTGTTCTCAAGTATAAATGAAAATCGTATACAGGACTCCAAAATCCAAGACGAGATTAATCACTTGCGGTTTTACAATTAGCTTGCACGCGAAAATGGTGCATAACTGTACATAGATTCGTTGTTCGAAGTAGATTTGTTATCTTCTGGTCAAAGAGGTAATGTATAGCTGCGTGGGTGACGTGCAATATATATAAATATGCTTACCGATGGGCTCATCGAGGACGATGCCGGCCCAGTCGCCGGGTGCGAATTGCGTTTCGCCGATGTAGGCGATTTGACCGGGTTTCGTGCCACCGACCCAGACATGATCGCCGATAATGAAGCTGTCGGTGTCCTCCGTTAGAACGACGCTATTATCTGTACGGGGATTTCAAGTCAACGTCAGCGAGGTTTTGTGCGCTATTAACTCCTTTATTCTTTTCCTTCTTTTTTTCAAAATTTTTAGTTTATTTATTGCGCGCTTCTTACCGATCTCGCTTTTTAATAGTTTTTTTTTCTTTTTTACATTTGTTTTAATTTGAAGATTAATAAGTTTACTTCAGATGTGAAATTTCATCTGGATCTAATTTACTTATTGCGTGGTGAAAATATTTGTTAGAGAGAGAGACAATCAATACCTCAACAATTCAGTGTTGTTCATTATGTACCTATTAAACAAATTTTCTTTTTTTTTATTCCAATCAACAATCGTGCAAGATACAGGGCATGCTGGTAGTTCAAACAAAAGTAGATCAAAAAAACCAAAAACTAAAAAAAAAAAAAAAAAAATCTCTACACATGACGTAGTTATACTTTCTACGCTGAACACCCGGTGATTCGCTCGTATAATTTTTTTTTTTTTACCACTGAAACACCAATTTTACTTGATGTAGCGATAAGGAAGTGCGACACACCTACCTGATCCTCTGCGCGTTCCGGTATTGCTCGATCTATGGCTCGGCACCTCCAAAATTGGTTCCATCTTATCTGGACGATTCATGCAACACAACATTGGTTTTCGTACTCCACGTATACAAGCCACACACACATCGACAACCGCGTTATGAAATCCAAGCGTTCCGTCACCACAAGTATACACAGTGTTAGATGTGATTATATGTGTTTTAGTAGAATGAAATTGGAAATGACACCAACAGACCAAGCGATAGCGGCAAGCTGTTGGGAGAAATCTCTGACTCGCAAAACTAATTAATACGACTTCTTATTAATCCATAGGGAATTTTTTTACTAAATACTTTAAACATTAACTCGCAATTTCATATTTTTTCCAAACAAGATTCGTCTTGGCTTAAAGACAGTCGTAAAAACTATTGTAACTACTATAATTGATGGAAATTTCAATACTTTTAATTATTTTTTGTACCGAATCCAATTATACACCCATTCTCACCCTCCCTCGCCCCTCCAAAATAATTAATTTTCATGTGTACCTATGAGTGGAAAAAAATAAATAAATAAAACAAAATAAAGTTCTCTATCCGTTGGCTATGTCAAGCGCCGTTTAAACACACATATGCATGCATCAACAAGCCAACACGATATGTTAAAGACTACGTGCACACTTGCAGATGTATTTACTACGTTGCGCGCCTACGTAACATACAATAAAAAAATAATCTGTCAAGAAAATAAAAATAAAAAAAAAACCGACTGTTAATCGGACCCGTAACAATCGGCACAATACCGGTCACAGCTGCAAACTCGATTAACCAGATCAAAAAGCCGCAGCTACACCTATACCGCCCCCACGCGTCACGTAAATGCATGTAGTGCCCGGCGGCGCTCGGGTGCATAAACAAACAATGTTCTCGGGAGATGGATCTCGTTAGAGCCCATTGCCGATGCATCGGAAATACCGAGCGCGTTGCGCAACTGCGATGCATCAAAGTCGTTCCGACCGAAAAGACAGCAGATGTATATGCCTCGTACATATATACACGAACAATGGATATTTAGGCACAGCAGTCGTCGTCTTGATACACAAGCGCCCGTCAATGGCAAAAATAAACACTGTATGCATCACGTGTACGCGCGCCCCAAACGATCCTCTTCCTCTCCCGCTTTTGACCATCAGATCGTCATTAAGATCAAGAAAGAGAGAGAGAGAGAGAGAGAGAGAGAGAGACAATAACCACTCCTGTGCAGGAAGTCATGGCGCAGTTTTGTGATTACAATGTCTTTTTATATTATTTGGGGAGCTGCAGATTAAATGTGATCTACTGGGAGCGTATCACAGGGGGGAGAAGGAAAGTTCATCTGGACAGGAACGAGATTAGGTGGACGCTGCAATCCTCCCGCGGGACGCGAGAGCACAATTAACTATACTTATATATATATACAAGGACCGTGGGTGTGCAATAGTTGAAAGCTCACTCACCAAGTCAGCAGCGAGTGAGTGTATATCATGCATGGATACGTGGGCAGCTCGAGTGCGGCTCGATGTACATATCGGCGATTGTCACGTGTTGCGGGTAAGTACCTATACCTAGCCACTTGTATATCTTTTGAAGAGAATAAATTTTATATGTGTACGTTTATATATCTCGGAACGAGTGTGTGTTTACATTTAGTCGATCGAGTGGATATTTATTATTATTACGGCAGGAAATGATTGAGGTGACCGATTTTCGTCGGTACGCGCGAGACACTTTGTTTTTTTTTTACATAATTTTCGAGTGGCTAAGCTTATCTATGCAATTGAAAAATTTTAAGGATTCAGGTAAATTGAAATTTTAGCCCATACCCCCATATACTTGTCGAACTTTATTCGAGAGCCTACGTTGGACTCGATTTATTTGCCAATACTACTAATCGGAGTAGTCTAGATTATTCTATTTTTTTTAAACACAGTGCACGATTAAATATAATTTTCAAGTCAAACGCGAATTTAAAATAGATAAAGCGATGGATCTCTCGGTATTCCGAGTAACTTGTGTAATGGCACACGCAGCCGCGCGATCAGTGATTTTTAAAATTTTGTTGAATCATCTCAAGATGAAAGCGTTTGCGACCTGCAATTAATTTCCTTCCTCTACCGTAACAAGCTCGATTTTCATCGTCAAAGAGCACGCGCTTCCTACAATTTTTTGCAAACGCGTTAGGGTCACGGTGTGAGAACAAAGTTGCGCAATGCGACCGATTTTTAGTTTTGTTTTTCCTTTAAACGAAAACGACTAATTTAATTCCTCGCAAAACCGTGTTCGCGCTGTTAATTACCATCAACAACAATAGGCTACAACTAGATAGGCTACAACTAGATAGACTACAAATAGATGTCTCAACCTTCCATTGGATGTTTTTTTGTCGTTTTCGCGATTTCCATTTACATCGCCGGCTACAATTATAATTGAAATACCGATCTCCGCGGGAAAATGTATAACGAAACAGCGATCGGGTATACGTTAATTTTCACGTTTATAGTTAAGGCCGCATCTGAAACCAGATCTCACAAAACGAGAAATCGACAACGGGATCGGCAAAAGAGACCTTCGTTGGTTGAATATTGAGAGGTGATTCTTAAGATGCGAAATGATCGATGATCAGGAATGAGAAACGTGAGAAAAGCGCTCGGTCAGTGGCGCGTATACTTATAAGGCAACGCTATGAAATGTGAATAAGACTCGTGCAAACACGAGGTAGAAAGTTTTTTTTTTCAGCAATTTATATCGCGACAAGTGTGCATATATAATTTTACGGTCGATCGAGCCCCAACAGGCGTACGTACAAAATCAACCGAACAACCTGATACTCGCGTATATGTACGTGTAAAAAAATACCCCGGGTGTCAGGCTGATACCGATTTCATGTCCCAATGTACAAACACAGCAACCATCGTCGGCCCAACAACTTATTAACCTCGTATGACAGATCATTTTAACACTTTCCGGGAGAAACAAGGTAGCGTAGAAGCCAACAAGTTGACCATGACACGCGGGAAAAATACAACAATGTGCAGAGTTGAAAAACAAAAAAAAAACAAAAAACGTTTCAAGTATACTCACGCGTGGATACGAACGTACGCCCGTAAAAAAAGTGCGTCACGCACGCGATTACAGCATCTGATGCGTAAGGTTGTAACAAAACACACCAATATTATTATACATCACTGTAAGGTAAAGCAGAGGTGTCCTCGATAAATCGGCGCGCGATGATCGCTTACGTATGGTTGCGCATGATTCTCGTGTACTTGGTGAGAAAATTGTTGGGCTTTTGTCATTTACTTGGAATTGTTTTTTGCAGTCATTTTCTTTTTTTTTTACTGGTTCTGTGTGGACGAGGATGGATGGAACACATTCGAGATCGGTACGATGCTAAGAGGAGAACACGCGCGCGGAATATTTATATGGAAAGAGATGAGCGATGATGCGTGTGTTCGGGTTGATCGAATTTTCAAGACACGCCATGTACATGAAAACGAGAAATCGTGACGCGAATTATGCGGATTTTTGAGAGGTAAGGGGGAATTTTGTTTTTGTTTTATTTATACAAATCGAATTGTCGATTTAAGGATTTGGATTAATGTTTGTAGATTGATTGTTATCGTTTTTAAATTATGTAAAAATATTTGTAGTCGAGCTAATTGGTTTTAAATATATTACTTAGCTATTGCGTGGATTTTATAAATATTATTGTGATTAAAAATGGCAATAAAAGCAGTTAATAAAGAGAGAGAAAGATGCAAACAATAAACATTGTTAGATCAGCATTATAGTCATAGCGTTTGGCTCTTGCAATAGCTTTTAAAACCCACGATTTCGAAACTAAGTGAATGAATGTCGACGATCAATGAAAAGCATCCTCGGCTGTTATGGATATCGTTATTAATATTAATGAAGCTGTTAGCGATCTAAAATACATACGAGACTGAGTATTACCACGTTTTTAATGTTGCTTAGGGAAAAAAAAAAAAAAAATTATAAGCCAGCAGCCTAAAAGGCTTTCTTACTACGTATTTTTTCCCTCACGTGCGCTAAATCCTCTCGGTCTTCCGGACAATAACTGGAGAAATCGGTACGAAGTGAGCGATTGCCCGCGCGGGAGATACGTTCGCGAATGCGATGCGATTGCGACTCTGGTGCGTGACTTGAGCTCCATTGGCGAGCTCTCCTGGATCTCGATGGCGTGGGCGTCTCGCGGAATAAAAATCGAGCCGCCGTTGCCGCAGATCGGGTTGGGGAAAAAAAAGAGGAGAGGATGGCATTTTTTTTTTTTTTGCGTCGAGTCGATCTTTTACATGGTGGGAGGAAAGAAGGAGGAGGTGCCGTTGCGCGGAGTTTCTTAAATACTACGCTTGTCTCCTTAAAGGTTTGGCGAGAAGCCTTTGTTGGAGGAAGAAAAAAAGGTGGTTTAACTAATGGGTGTTACGTGTGGAATTTTCTACCAAAGCGCACGTGCTGGCACTTTTTTTTCGTCATTCACGTGAACCTGATTTGGTTTTCGAGGGCTTTCGCCTCTCTCGGCGCCGTCTTTTACCGGTTTTCGTCATTAGCTCGATATAGCCGGAGCGAGTGTAGCGCAAATACTTATAGCGCGCGCAAAAAAGCATGAGGAACAAATAAAAAGTTATTATTTTTTTCCTTTCTTGATTTTTATTTTCTTGACAGAATTTTTTTTTTCGTTTCGATAAGATTTTTTTTATTTCACATAAAAGCTTTTTTTTTATATTATAGGGATTTCGTTTAAACATAGAAAATTGGTAGCGGTGTTATGTATAAAAAAATAATTAAACCGGACAACAAAATATGAATTACATTGTCTGACATATTAATAAAGCCTCGTAACTGTGTAAACCTCTTTATTACGATGGAGAAGAGATTTACTTAACTATAAATTTCTATGGGCAATCATACCCATTGGATATATCACCAAAATAATAAGGTCTCATTTATTTTGTGAAAAAAAGGTATCAAGTACAAATAAAATAGGATAAAATTAACTTGATTCACAAATGAAAGTACATATAAGTATTATATTTTGATACTAACGTTTATATTTGACTGAAAAAAGAATTGGATTAGCTATGTACATTTGCCTGACTACTTAATATATATATACATTCATATTGAAATGTGGTTTCTAGTACATTTTTTGAACGCTTACCGAAATAAGTCCAACAACTGATTTTAACTTGAAAAAAAGATTACGTCATTTTCTGTTGCTCAACATTTATTTTATGAAATGTTGCTGAATCACGACAGCGATAACTATTTGTTTATTTAACAATTATTAAAAACTTTTTTTTTTGAGTGAGCCAAACATTTATAATACTAATTCCTTACAACGGTCAACTAACCACGAAGTTTTTATACTCACATAAAACAATGTTTTCATACTTACCAGATTCATAAGTAATGGAATTATATTCTTACCTTAACAGTATTTTTATAACAATCATTAAAAAATAATAGGAAAAGTAATAAGATACTGACATTTTAGTACTTTTAAAACGAAAGTAAAATAACACTTCCAAAATAGATTGATTTTCAGAAATATAAGTACGAGAGTTAAAAAACTTACTCAATGATCCAGGTGTCGATGGTATAGCAGGCTTTGGAGCAACGGTGCAAGTTGGCCTGCCAATTTTCGATGGTGGCCTTAGACCAGACGGTTTTGATTCCGACATTGTGATCACTTATTGTCCATACACTGTTAAACAAAACTAAAATAATAAGAATACACACGTGTTTCGTTGCACTATCATGATTGCTTCATTTTAACAACAAGTAATTCACAAGTTTTCGTTTGAAATCGTACATTATAATAAAAACATGTATGAGAATAATGAATTATTATTTTATGTTAATGTGCTTTTTATTATGCGACACTAGGCTGATTTTGAAGAATCTATCACGGCTGAGCTAAGACAACACAACTGAATTCAGATGAAGCTGCAGTTCCCTTTTATAACATTCCTTTTTTTAAATCACAACTATGTATTGAATGTTTTGTGTGGGTGTAAATTTCATGTCTGATACAGTACACCTCAATGATGATTGATCATAGTAAAATAATAAGATGTGTTACATGAGCAGCAAGTATAGCGTTGACAATGTCCCAAACAAGAAGTAAAAAAAATAAAAACAAAGCGACATTCTATACGCGTTTCAGCAAAGTAGGTATCAAGTCCTCTTTAATCGATACAAACAACACACGTCAAGTAATCTGTTTAAAAACCATAAGCACTGGCTTAGTCTATTAATAGAGGCTTCGTCTTCAAGCAAATCCAACAGAAAATTAAATCACACAAGTAATGAGAGAAGAGCTGTCCCTTTCACGAATAGGTGCACATAAAAAGCTGCAGCTTTCTCTTTCTTTTATTCAGGCACAAGTTATTTGGATAGAGTTGCAAAACGAAATAACGGATCTAGAGCGTAAAATAACACTTGAGACAATGAACATAAATTAAAAATTAGAAAAATTTGCACGGTACACGTAGAGAGAGGTTAGATTTCTGTCATGCTCTGATGTCATTGAAGCTTGAAATTGAAATGTAAAAAAAAAAAAAAAAAGAAAAAAACTCTGGTAAGTAATTATTGGTGTGGGTTGTTCTACTACAAGTGTTACTACTTATGCTTCGGAGCAGACGAGGCTGTGTACTAAAAAATTAGACGGATGTATATTATATACCTCTGTGTGTGCTCTTTTTACTTATTTTTTGTGTTTCAATTTTTTTTATGCGTGTGACTGTTTTATTCGTATTTGTTTCAATTTGCACATAACACTACCTAAACACTGAACAGTTGTCTGAACACTCTGAACTCTAAGTTCAGAAAGGTTATAACATAACGTGTATAAACTTAATACTATTAAGCAGAGGACAATATGTAAACACAACACCACACGTGTATATAGTACATACATGCACAAAATCAACAAATCGGTGTTTGTGTGTGGGGTAGGTATTGTCAATTTGATTTTATCTTTCGGGTAAAGAGTGCACGGTGTAAGATACATACGTAAAGTTATGTGTAGTAATCACTACTTAATTATAGTAATCACTACTAAGTAGTGCCATATAGTGAATTTTATTAAACCATATAAGTAGAATATCTATACTTTCGGAGATCAATTTTTAGATAAAAGGTAAACTGTAAACTTGCCGCAAACAGCACAGACAACGTCATCTTTTTATTTCATGTCTTTAAAATTAGTTGCGGCTGGTTTATAATTGATAACATGGCTCTACTGTAAGTAGTAATAATTATTTGGATCAGCGCCATCTAGCGGTCTTCATTTTTTAGACAAAAGTGGCCTCTAAAATTCTAAAACAGAGCATTAGGGCTGAGAGCCATTCAGTCAATTATAAACCAGCCGCAACTCATGGTAAAGCTGTAAAATTAAAAAATAACAATACATGTGTTTTTGGCGGCAAGTTGGCAATCTATTTTCTACCATAAAATTGACCTCCTATGTGTTTATACTTTTGAAGATAAATTTTCAAGCATAAGATAGATTGTTAACTTGCCGCCAAAAACACATGTATCGTTATTTTTTTATTTTATAGCTTCGTCATGAGTTGCGGCTGGTTTATAACTGACTAAATGGCTCTACTCGCTAAAGCTCTGACTTAGAATTTTAGGAGCCACTTTTGGCCAAAAAATAAAGACCGCTAGATGGCGCTGATCCAAAATAATTATTGCTACTTACAGTAAAGTCACTTTATTAGTTATAAACCAGCCGCAACAACTTTCGAAAATAGATAATAAAAAGTCAACATTTATGTGCTACTTGCGGCAAGTTTACAATTTATCTTTTACCTTAAAATTGACCTCCAAAACCATCAATATTCTACTTATCTCATATGGCTCATAAAATCGACAATATTTACAAAATTACAATACTCTTGACCTTTTACCATTAACTCATGTAAGCACAAATTAATCAGTCCATTAAAGAGACAACTGAAGAAAAAAGGCCTGAAAAAGAAGCGCAGTCACACGAAAAGTCTCATACAAGAATGGACCACTGGATCTCACTTAATCAGAGAAGGTCGGATTCTTTGTTTACTCATAACACTTAAAATTTACATCTCTGTAATAAATGTATTTTTCAATTAGTGAGATCCGATGCTCCATTCCTAGGAGACTCTTCGTGTGGCTGATTCTTTTTAAGACCTTTTTTCTTCAGTTCTCTCTTTTGGACTGATTAATTTACGTGTATATTTGATCGTGATTTACGATTTCTGTAACACAAATTTTGCTATGTACATATTATATAAGTTAACTGTTTATTGGAAATCTAAAGTTGAAGGGCTGTTCTTTCATTAGTTAATGGTAAAAGGTCAAGAGTATTGTAATTTTGTAAATATTGTCGATTTTATGAGCCATATAAGATAAGTAGAATATTGATGGTTTTGGAGGTCGATTTTAAGGTAAAAGATAAATTGTAAACTTGCCGCAAGTAGCACAAAAAATGTTAACTTTTTATTATCTATCTATAAGATTCGTTGCGGCTGGTTTATAACTAATAAAGTGACTTTACTGTAAGTAGCAATAATTATTTTGGATCAGCGCCATCTAGCGGTCTTTATTTTTTGGCCAAAAGTGGCTCCTAAAATTCTAAATCAGAGCATTCAGGATTAGAGCCATTTAGTCAATTATAAACCAGCCGCAACTCATGACGAAGCTATAAAATAAAAAAATAACGATACATGTGTTTTTGGCGGCAAGTTAACAATCTATCTTATGCTCGAAAATTTATCTTCAAAAGTATAAACACATAGGAGGTCAATTTTATGGTAGAAAATAGATTGCCAACTTGCCGCCAAAAACACATGTATTGTTATTTTTTAATTTTACAGCTTTACCATGAGTTGCGGCTGGTTTATAATTGACTGAATGGCTCTCAGCCCTAATGCTCTGTTTTAGAATTTTAGAGGCCACTTTTGTCTAAAAAATGAAGACCGCTAGATGGCGCTGATCCAAATAATTATTACTACTTACAGTAGAGCCATGTTATCAATTATAAACCAGCCGCAACTAATTTTAAAGACATGAAATAAAAAGATGACGTTGTCTGTGCTGTTTGCGGCAAGTTTACAGTTTACCTTTTATCTAAAAATTGATCTCCGAAAGTATAGATATTCTACTTATATGGTTTAATAAAATTCACTGTATGGCACTACTTAGTTTTTGCTGGCAGCCTGTTACTGCAATTTCCCTGTTTACTGACTAGTCGTTTGTTATACTGACTCGAAATTTTTTAAAACTTTTTACTAAAATCAGTATCTAAAATCAAAATACGACTTCAGAGTCTAGTTTCATTGAAAACAAGGTGTCTGTTGTACAGAATGCAAGAAAAAAAAAATATTTATCTCTATCAATTTGAATTGAATCGCCCGCCGAAGCTTTGACTGGCATTCTCCAGACTGCAGGTTTCCCATGTACAGGCACCCTTAGGCTTTTCAAGGGAAAAGCAGCCATTGGTGGAGATTTGAAAGACAACTTCCCTCCGTCCCGCGTGTGATGAGTAGAATTAAAAAGTATTGAACCCTCTTTAACTCTCCCTTTATTTTATATTTCATCGCTAAACTTCGATTGATTTGTCCTGTTTATATACAGTTTCATTAGTCGCGTTAACAAAATACACTTCGTGTCTGATCTCGCGTGCAAATAAAGAGTGGTTAATTTGAAAGTTGGAGCAGGCTCTCTGAAAGTCCGTACAGGTTTTGTTTACTGGCGCACTACAAGACTCGACGTGTTTTACTTAGATGGATGATATGCCGTTGTTGATTAATTATTGACTCGATCGAAATTCCTCTGTGTGGACGGGACTTGTTGATTAATCAACCATGGAGAAGCACCAGTACGTCAGGGCGTTTATTTCCGCGGCTTCGGAGTATGCAAAGCATCCGAGCGAAGCCTCCGGATCAGTGATACAAAGAAATCTTGGGGTAGGTTGACCAAATTGGATGGCTTTGTTTTCATTTTAATGTTCATGGTTCTTCTGCATCAGGCTCTAAGTGCTTCCTTGGATCTGAGCATCTTTGATCCAGGAACGAGTATATCTGCAGCATTTTATGTGAGCCTACACGAATTGATGAACAGCTTAGGCTCGAGGTCTAGTTTGATCTGGAGTACGATTGACGTTCTTCAAACTGCATGTAAAAACCCAGCGGCTAGGCAGGCGCTTATTCACACTTACAAGTTTGCATCTATTTTGACAAGGCTCTTAGAGGTAAAAAAACATTTAGGTATTGTTACATTTTGCTGATGAAGATTTAACAAACATTTCCTATGTTATGATATTTAATTGTTTTTCCAGGCAAATCTAACTTCTGAAAAAAGAATAAGAGTTTTGAAGTTGTTTCAAGAATTGACTTATGGAATAAAAATTTCCTGGCAGGAAGCTCACTTACCATATTTAATGACTACATTGTCACAATGGATAACTCAGTCTAGTGACGAAGAAGTTATTTCATTGTCTCTTGGCGTATTAGTTAACTTGTGTTACAAAAATTTACCAGCTGTGTATGCATTGATGCGCAGTGTTAACACGAAAACATTTCTACAGAGCGTTGTGAAAACAAGAGGACAAAACATTAACATCAGAGTGCAGTGTTGCAAACTTTTGATCATTTTAGAATACGCCAATTCCGATATTTTAGATTCCTACATTTTAGATGTTGCTTTGGTTACTTTTACAAATATCATTCCAACGTTGAAAAAAGAAGACGTGCTCTTGCTCAGACATATTGTTGATTTTTTCGATGATATCAGACAAAACGAACGATTCAGAGCAGTTCTCTTGACGTACTCAAAGTAAGTTGGAGTTTTTACATGGATATAAAATAAATTAACAATATTGTAACATAATTTCTTCTCTTCTAATTAGCTATGTCAAAGATGTCACTGATATTCTGGCTACCTTGAAAGATGTATCCAACAGAGAATGTGCTGGACTTGTTATGGAATTTTTACACTCCTTGATGAAATTGCAAGCACCGTGTCTGGTACAATTGTATCCATTAATTGTTAAGACAGCCGTATCGTGGGTCACTACAGAAAGTGTAAATTTGTTATTGAATAATTTTCAGTGATCCAGTAATATTTAAAATAATCCGTAAATTCTCATGCAGGTCAGTTCAAAAGCATTGGCCCTGATTAGAACAATCGTCTGTGATTCACGGAGGTCGAAAAGCAGTGCCGAAGTATTAGAGGCGCTGGATCTTTCAGTATTAACATTATTAATTAAAGAGGACGATGACATAGATGGGATTGATAGAAGTCAAAGCAGTACTATTGAAGTTGAGAAAAACTTGACAGAACTCATGCAACTTTTTCAAGAGTTAGTGAAAACTCCATCAATTAGAACTCAAGTCCTGGAAGTTTTTTCGATTTCGAAAATGCGGATTTTAATGAAGGAGGTACTTGAATGCAGTAACGATTCCAGCATCATCGAGAAGCCAAGAAATCTTTTTCAAGTAAGCACGGTACCTCCAATCTACACTTTGAATTGACTAATTATTCACATTGAAATTTTTTTCCAGGATTCATCAACAAATTTTTATGTTCATGCCTTGTCTCTTATAGCTGATTTAGCAATCAATAACACTCACTGGCTGGAGATGTACACAGAACTGTTGCGTAAAAAGCAGATACAAATGATATTGGCTACTGCTTTATATACTAGTGATTGCGAAGTTAAGCAAAAAGTTCTTCAATTGACTTCAACGGTAGGATTTCCGAAAGAATGGTAAGAAATATTAAAAATATATAGTTTGGTATTTTTAAAAGCCCAATTGCGGTTCATACTAAAAAATGAATTCCTTCTTTCAGTTTATCTGCAGTTGCCAATTGTATGACAGAGCTAGAACCATTAGTATTAGTTCAGGAAAAAACGAGCGTGACGAAAATTTCCGAAACATTCACCAACAGTCAAACACATGATGTAATGCCGTTGTTTTCACTAGCTCAAGAAGGAAGACTTGACACGTTTATTTCCAAACTTGAAGCAGCTTTCGAAGAAAATAAATTACCAGAAATAACTACATCAGCTGTTATGGAACTTTATGAGTACAAGGTATATTTTTTTTGCTAATAAAATAGTTAAGAGTAGCATACAAAGTTTAAAAATCTACTTCTTGAAAGTAGATGGCTGCAATGAGACATGCAGAAAGAGCCATGCAGTCAAGTTTGGAAGCAGCTACCAATCACGCTACTAGTCTTCAGCACCGATTGGCACAGCTAGTCGCACAATCCAGCCAGTTACATCAGGTGTTGTTTAATACCCAGCAGTGTTTAGAAGGAATGCAAACTGAAAAAATTGGGTTGATGAGAAGGCTTCATGAAATGGAAGAGAAATCGAAAAAAACGCACGTTGCACAATCACAGGTATGATTGTAGTTGGTCAAATATTGTATATAATTTGTTTATTAAAGGAAAGGTGCGATTAAAAAAAATTTTTTTTTAACTTTGCAGGAAATCGCAGGATTGAAAAAAATTGTAATTGAAAAAGAAAACCATGTAACTGCGTATGCAGCTCACATAAAAGAACTGGAAGTGAAGAACGAAGAAATTCCATTGCTGTTAAATAAAATTAAAGAACTGAAAACCGAAGTTCATCAATCGGCAACTGAACTCAAAGAGCTGGGTGCCAAAAATCAAGAAATGAGCAAGTTACTTCACAAAATGCAAGAGAGTGTGAATAAAAAAGACCAGGTGCCATGTCATCCGTTGATATTTATTCCTAGAATTTACATTTTCACTTAGTTATATTGTTTTAACATATCCGTTATAATTTTCCAGATCATTGAAGAAAAAAATAAAGAAATCAAGTCAAAAGAAAAAGACATCGTGGCTCTTAATTTGGAAATGAAACAGCAGACTCAACAATGTCATAACTATCAAAAAGCTTTGGCTGAAAAGGAAGAAACTGTACAGAAACTGTCAAATGAACTACATAGCTTGAGTCGTATGCGAGAAATGATATTTGAATTGACTGCTAAGAAGGAGAACCTGTAGACAGGCTCGTAACATTTTTATAGATAATGTGAAATTTTTATACGTTTTGATACATACTAAAATTTATAAAGCCTTAAAGCTGATGTATATAGAGATTTTTAGTTCTACTGACTTATTTTATATTCATTTACGATAAATCTAACTGAATTCACCAGCTAGCAGTTTTTGATTATCCTTATTGAGACAGTTCGTTTTGATAAAGTCACAAAACCAAACAAAATCAGCTTGAAAAAATAAAAATTTTTTTTATGGAATCCAGTTTTTACATATATTCCACAAATTTTGTTACCTGGTATGTAACAGTTTCAAATAAATGCAAAAATTCGACATGTTTTGCTATGCACCTTGAAGATTAAAGACTACGAATTGCATCTCGGGGTTCCACTACATACATTATTATTTAATAAATAGCCAGCTGGTATATATAGTTTGGTAACATGGCAAACATATAATCTTTTCTAGACACAAGAACAGCTGTTTTATCTATCTTAGACAAATAAATTCACACTTATAAGGCATTCGATTTTTTCAGATATTTTTTCTATATTTGATAAATCATTAAGGAAGAACTTTGAAAAGAAACACATTCTCGGAATCTTTCAGTCTTCGTACAGTCAATAACAACGTTTACAACAATTAGAGCTTATCCACGCGTGTTCAAAATTACTATTAAAAATTCTTGATAAAATTTGTACTATTTATTAAGCTATTACCTAAAATAAAATTATTTCATTGAATGGTCTTGTAGGAATGTGTTATAATGCTATACAAAATTATATGGAATATTTTTATACAATTCTATTCATATTTTGATAAACTGTAAAGAAACTTATGTAATTGATATTGTTCTCTTAGAACTGGGTCAATTAATTTTCATTTACATACAAAATTCTAATTCAGTTACCAAAAATATAATCGATTTCGTCTGATATGTAAACGTTGCGATTGTTTCACATTTTACTTAAAATAATTGAATCTCGTTCCAGCAAGACTCACTATTTTTATATAAAGTTCATCTTTACTGCATAAAGTTTATTAATACTGCACATCAACATGTACTTGAATACTATATTAGTAGATCTTTGTGTACGTTTCAAAATAACATTCAATAAGATTTTTTTTTTTTATCAAATTCATATGTGTGCAAAGCTATATTATTGTATTTCTTGCACCAAGTATTAAATCAATTCACAGCTTAATCATCGTGTTAATTCCTCTAAGAATATTTTAATGCTATTTCACGATTGATTAGCACAAAAAGACAGTTATTGAAAAAAAAAACTAACGTTTCTCTTGAAAAAAAAAAACGCCTTGTGCTAGTAGTATTTGTATTTTGCAAAATCAACTCGTAACCGTCTTTGATTGGAAAACGTTACGCGAATTGTAAACATTTTGCAGGCAAGATACGAAAAGTAATTCATAGCATGAGTATATTTCGCGACTCATCGAAGGAGCCGTCGATCGGTAATATGTTTATTTATATCACAAATATAAAAATTGCCCGAAAAAAAAAAAAATAGAAAATGAGCACTCAGAGGATACTTGAGTGAAAAAAGGTCTTAGACATGACAGTAATCACAAGATCGCGCTAAACAGAGAGCCGAAGCGGCGATTTTTTTTATATAGATACGAAATATTGTCAGCACTCGAGTCCGCCTTTTACCTCGACATCTGTATATATACTTAACTTGACCGATCGGACTCTGTCCAATCTCATAAAGGGAAACAAACCCCTTTCTTTGTATAATTAAACTATGTAATTACAATTTGCACCAATTCTCCTTTGGAATAAACGAACTGATAAATCTACGATATCTCATCTGGTGAAAAAAAAGGAACCGTATCTAACGTGGAGATAACTCACAGAAACGTATACGACTTTGGAGCAATGAACAACTATTCATAAACTATATATGTGGTATTGCGTAGAAAAAAAAATAGTTTGGTTAACTAAAAAGTGTTGAGAGCTAGCCGATCCAAGGGCACGTCGCACATCGGATTGCCGGACGGCTCTTTCCTTCTCAACGTCAGTCATCAACTGCCGCCCTTGCTCCAGGGCTGCTCGGTCGCCGAGGCGAACAGCAGGTAGAAGCAATTGGCGCAGATGTTGATCACCGCGCCCAACAGGAAAACGAAATGCCAACGCGCCAGCGTCTCCTGGAGTAAAACAAAAGGTGTGTGTTTATCATTTGCAGTACATCATGCGTGATGTGTGAAACATGCATGTATACTAACGTGTCCGTTGACGATCTGTCCAATGATGTAGGGGGCGAGAAAGCCGCAGGCATTGGCAGCGGCGTTGGTCATGCCGTAGAGGGTGCCGGCGTACCTGGGCGCCAGGGTGATGTGGTTCATCTGGTTGCCGGCGTATACGGCGCCGTAGAGGGAGCCCAAGCCGGACAGCATCATCATGACGGTGAACCGGTCGCAGCCGGCCCAGATGACTCCCAAGAAGCTCAGACTCGGTCCCAGCGAGGCCACGGTGTTCCACAGCTTGAACGACCTCAGGGGTGATATGAGATTGCGGGCGAGCAAGGCGTCAGCGAAACTCGATATCACCAGTCCTACGATCCACGCGGTCAAGTAGGGCAGGGCTGAGAGGTAGGCGTTCTGTTGGACGTCAAAGTGCAGGATGCGGTCCATGTAGGTCGGCAGCTCGGTCAACAGGGTGTAAAAAGCCCAGGACTGGCCGCACTGGGTTACGGCTATCGCCCACATGGGAAGCGACGTGAACACCGACAGCCACGGTACGTCGGTGTTGCCCTTTAATTTGAAAATACCGGGAGGAAAAAAAAAGTTATTTCATTGCGATCGGGAGATTGTTTCTATGAGAGTTCAAGGGTGTACTCACGCCTTCCTTGGTCTCAACGAGGGACTCTATGTACGCTCTCTCCTGGGGATCGATGCGCGGGTGCTTGGCTGGCGTGTCGAATACAAAGAGCAGCCAAAACACGTACCACACGATTCCGAGGCTGCCAAACAGGTAGAACGAGAGCGGCCAGCCGCCCCACAGTTCCAACGAGCACAGCCAGCCGCTCAACGGCAAAGAGATGACGGTCCCGAAGTTGGCACCTACAACGTACGGTACATTATTGCTCCCGCTTCGAATGATTTTAATCGAGTGTACGGCTGCACCGACCGGCATACACCAGAGCGGCAAATTTGCTTCTTTCGAGCGGCGGGACCCAGTGGGCCAGCATACTGTGCATGGCCGGGAAAGTAACACCCTTGAAGTAAAAAGAAAATATGTAACACACATGTTTGCGTTGAATTAGATTTTTATATACGTTTTCGCTTACTTCGGTAAAACCTTCGGCGATGCGAATCACCAGGAACGGGTACAGGCCCCAGTAGGCAGCGAAGGGGCTCACCACGGTCAGGAGGGCCGTTAAAAAGACTCCCAAGCCGTAGACGATTTTTCCGCCTATCCTCTCGGCTACCCTTCCACCCGGTACGTTTGTCATGACGTAGCCGAGGAAAAATGCCCCGAGGATGACACCCTGCGTTTTTTCGTCCCACGCGAATTCGCCCGCGCTCTTAACACACAAGCATTGATATTTATTTATTTAATTTTTTTTTTCATTCCTCTGTTGAAATATTACAATAACAATGATGTATGTACCGGAACGAAAGTTGAGTTGATGGGAGTGGTTTTGGCGCACTCGTCGATGTCGCTTTGATTATCGGTGTGCGGGATGGCCGTCTGGTTGACCATCGATACTATGGCCACCGATAGGTTGACCCTCATCGCGTAAACCAAGGCAAAGCCGAGAAAACCAAGGAAGCCGAAAATTTGGCGCGATTTTATGCACGACCGGCTGTCCGATATCGGAGTTCCTGGTGGATTAACTGCAAAGAAAATACCCATACATCATTCATATTTCATCCCTTCCTCGAATGATCATCGAGGTAATTTTTATCATCTCGAATCATAATTGATGCCGATCTATTGAATATGCAATCTTTCGTTCTTTGTATCGATCTATATTTGTAATAAAACGTGTATACACATGTAACATATATAAATACGTGTGCCTGTTGATATACACGACTCTACTCTCCGTTTCCGCAAACAGCCGATTGTCATACAACACATGGCGTCGCTTGTTTATCTTACTTGAATTGTGAAACAGATATAAATCCCAACTAAAACTTTTCGCTTGGCTTTTGTTCCTTCGCGTTTTGCAATTTTTTTTGTTTTAAAATATTAATGCCTCTGGTCATTTCTAATCTTTGGTCTTTTACTTGCCGTTTGCGAATAATCTTTACGACTTGGAGATAAAAAAAAAGTAAAACCAAAACAAGTGACACGGTTTTTTTTCTTTTCCAAAGAATTCATCATGCGCAAAAAATTCATAATGATAAAAAAAAAAACAACACTTTGTAAAATCACGTTCGAAGTGTAAAAGAGGAAAAGAATGGAAAAAAAATTCCTCTGTTCGGTAACTACGTTAGGGAAAAAAAAAAAAAAATGTACTCACAAAGATACAAGCACTTGCGTGACTCATATTTAATTCTTATCATCGGAAACAACACATCGACTCAGCAACATCGGCTAGTCTCTTTCTTTCATTTTCAAGATTTTCAAGTTTGTTACGAAAATTAGTTATTAACACGCGCGATCTTGCACAACACGAAAAAATCCGAGACGATGATTATTTAACCACCTGTAATTTTCGAGCCCCTCATCATGCGCGCGCGTGACGAAACCACCCATACAATTGCCGTACAGGTATATAATATATCCACTCGTGTTTGGTAATTAAAATCGAGCCCCCCTCCCCCTGTTTTGCTTGGCGCAAGTATAGGGACATAAGAAAATGAGGAGATAAGAGCTGTGCGTTGAATTACGAGAGCGCGGGATGATCTCTGTTTACGAACGGGGCGAATGAAAGTGTCGCGATGAAGATTTGAATTTCCACGATACCGCTGACACTCGAGCGGGCCGTGGTTATTTATTCCGCGAATAATATTGTACATCGGAGCTGCTCGTACAGCTTAGCGTGGGACCGGATGCAACTCGACCTCTATGCTTACTTTTCTTTTTGTCCCACGATCATGACGTACCTCGAACAGCAATAATAGTCAATTTCCATCGGTTTATCCAGCATTTAAGAAAAAGAAAAAAAAAAAATTTTACTCTCCAACGCTGTTTGATTACGCACACAAAAGCTGCAGAGTATCATGTTGGATAACGATTTGCATTGAATTTGAAAAATCGAATTTGCGTTTCTAACGACTTTCAGAGGCGTAAGCTCGAATTTACGTTTTTCGAGATCCCCGAGACCTTGAAACAGTATTTTTTTTTTTCCTCCTCCGAACAGATGCGATCACTATTAATACAACTGCCGTATAATTAAGTAGATACTCTGACATCTGCGCAAATATATACATACATGTAACGCAATTTGTCAAAGAGTAGGCGAACGTAAACGTGATCCTCGTCCGACAAACCAAACTGCCTTTATTACCTCATCATCCGAAATACGCCAAAGGATCGCGAGGTGAAAATTGTTCGTTTCAAGGCCGCATTCGATACTTTTACCGATCCCAATAGAAACGACAGGATTTGATTTTATACGCGTTCCATTTCGCACAAAGTCGTTGTATCATTATACTCGCTTCGATCCTTTTACTCGCGCTGTACGTCACCGTATATACATATACCTATGTACATAACACGAGAGAGCTTCCCATATGCGCGACGCCTCGAAGTACGTGCACATATGCCTGTACTTGTCGACAACTGTCATCCCCGAAAACCAAATTTTTCCCCACTGACAACTGTCCTGGGATAAAGTAACGGCCACCGAGAAACATTAGAAATGCTCGTGTAACAATTATCTCTGCGATCTAACGGATAAAACGAGATAATACAACAACGCCTACTCCTACGACGGAGGAGTCTCATCGTATAAAAAACTGTATACATGTGTCATGGGACAGCTCCTTACCTTTTTGCAGGGCATCGTTGAGACACAGTGGCGCGTCGTCCCGAGATACGCTCGGATCCAGCACCTCCATGATGACGTCTAGGACCCTATAGGCTGCTATAGGTATTTATATCCTCGAGCCAATGCTTGCAGCAGCTGCTCGCTGGTGTTGCTGTTGTTGCGATGGACTTTTCGCGCTCGGCTGATGCGTCCTGCTCCTTTTTCCCCCAGCACTCTAATGGTACGTCATTATGTACGTATATATATACACACAAGGTACGCCTTACGGCGCAAGGAACCGACTGCAGGGACTTTCACATCTGCCGTTGCGCTCCGCGGCTCTTTCAATGAAAGAAGGAAAAAAGAAGGGAGGGGGAGTACTGTCTACTGTAGAGAGGCAACTCACACTACTGTACATATATATTATACGATGAAATAGGTTCTACACACCCACACTACGACTATATACACACTTTTTTCTTTGTTGCCTCCCTGTAATTTTCGGAGCGCGTCGGACTTCTGGATTTTATGATATAATACAGCGACGCGACGCTGACTCATTATATCTTTCTACTTCTGATCGCGTTGGCACTCTTACAACTAGGGCTAGACATGTTTCGTACTGTATGCGTCATGCTACTCTGACAGATACGTGAGAGATGTGTTGTCTACTATCTTTCGCTTAGCGCATGCGTTCCGTAAACATAAAGTGAAAAATTGATGTTTACTATTTTTGGAAAGTTACGGATTTTCATTGCGTCTTTTACTATAAAGAATTTTGATACTTTTAAATTAATATTTTTCTGGAATCAAACGCGTGCCCTTGAGAACGGAGTCCTCATTTTGGAGCTTCCTTATTTGGAGTACGGAATACATGTATATGCATGTATAAATAAGGGTAGGCGATGAGAGGGGGTGAGTAGGCGAGTCAGTCGGTGGCGCGTTTGCAATTTTTTTTCTTTTTGGAGCGACGCCGCGCTGTCTGCAGGTTTTGCAACGCAACTCCTTGTGTATGGGTGTAATACATTAAGTGCACATACGTGTATGTGGTGTTGCGTGAAAGTATACATATCTCCTTCACACGTGTGCTCTATATATATATATTTTGATCAGTAGATATGATAAGAACATTAGTCTTATTTTATTTTTTTGCTGGTATCGAGCGACTATGACGGTTCGCTCACATGAAGATATCGTTGTTTCGAAATATCCGAGATTAATTGAGCTTTAGTCGGATTTTGTACGAAAAGGAAAGCGAGTTCAAAGATTCATAAATCCTATCGATTTTCTCAGCAAACAACCAATTTACTCATGAAAATCAAAGATAGTTGTTGATTTCTGCAGCATATCATCATTGTTAATGTAGCTGAATTATTATTTTATTCTACATTTTTTATCATTTCATATTCGAGCAATATCGACTTTTGACAAAACGTATAGGTCCAAAGTATCCTTGTAGCCAGGACCTCGCGTCTTACGGTCAGATTCTGAAGGTAAAAAGATTTCCTTACAGGCGTCAAAACAAAACTAATTTTTCCTTATTCATTTTGAATTACCTTAATTGTGACGAGTATACATATACTTGCACGACAATGAAGTCAAAATGTTGTGTATGATTTTGCTAAATATTTTTTACTTTTGAACCATAATGTGTTGCATGAATTACATTAATTACCATTGTTAAAACATTTCATACGGATGGATTCGAGCAAAATTAAAAAAAAAAAAAATAAAAAAAAAATAAAAGTAGAGCTTTCAAGCTTTCTAGATGAGGGCACTTTGGCATACGCGTGCGTGTTCCGTAGTTGGTAAATCGAGCTTTTTTTATCAGTATATAGAAATACTTACAGTTAATCGAATAGCAGCTAGCTTTAACGTCCGTCGGTTTAGAACTTTATGTTCATCGGCCGCTTCTACTGAACGAACAAAGCTTGGTTTGCGCGTCACTCGCCAGAGAGTGTTAGGATACTAATTTCGGTGGTAAGTACAGAGTTTTAGTCATTCATCATGAATAAATATGTAGTATGAATAAATTATGTATTGCTTCGAATAAATTTACTAACGTTTGTTTTAATTAAACGATATTTGTGCAACGTTCTCCAAGCTTTTTACTATTGTAACTATTTGTCAAATAAAGTATTGTAATAGTTATACTCAAGATTTTTTTTAAATACAGAATTTTTTTTTTTTTTTCAAATAACGCTATGCATTTCTTATGCTGATTTTTTTTTATTACGGTTGCTAAGATATGAAATAAAAAAATGTTTGGTGATGAAAAAGCAAATAAATTTTTTTCAAAAAATTATGTCAAAGTGATTATGTATTTTCCTTCGTACTTATTTCACAAAAATTTTTTTTTTCCAGAAAATAAAATCCATTGTTCTTTATCTAGAAATAATTTTAAGTCTTTTATTATACATAAGATGGAATTAAAAAATAATGTTCTGATGCAGATAATGCACCACGGTATAAAAAAGAGTCATGGTGTCCGGCCTTTAAAACACAGATAACAAAATCGAATAATAAAGAAATGACAGACAGAGAAAAGCGTGTTTTCTTCACATTTCGATACAAGCACAACGGAATTATTTCAAACTTAATGACTTCAATTTTTTCTTTGTCTAATAAAGATTAATCATGTCTTTCAAAGAATGTAGTTTGGGTAGAATATTGTGAACCGGATTAAAACTTGCTCACTGCATTTGAAAAGGAAAAAAAATTCAACTTTGTACAAAGTTGTACAAAAAGATAAGAGTACTTACTCTGAGTTAAAATAGTTTAGCAGTATATATAATAAAAATATTTAACAGTATTTCGATGGATATGTTGAAATAAATACACTTCAGTTTTTATTCATTAGATTTATTTATTTAATACATTTAATGTTTATTTGTGGATTAAAAAAATTCTTATTAAATAAAACATTCAATATTATGAGTGAATTAAATAATATTTTTTGTGTCATCGACTTCTTGGATGGTTGGCCCTGTAGGACACCTTCCTCTGCAAGGACAATCCTTTGTGCCATTGCATCGAGTACAGTTGTCTATAAAAAATAAAGTAATAATAAAATTTGATATTAATGTGTTAAGAAATTACGCTGTTGAGTGCTTTCAAGGGGATCATAGTACGCTAGCAGCTGTATTTAGTCTGGGGGCATATTTTTTTCATAATTATTAACGTTAATTGGCATCGACATCAACTTTGTATTGTCACTATTCTATTAATAAAAATGACACACAAATGTCTTATAATGATGCTCATTTTAAAAATGTATTCTATATCATCTTTTTTGTTTCAGGAGCAACAACGTCATTTCTTTTTTCTATTATAATCTACTAATTAAAATTTACAATACATCATTTTCCAAGAGGTTTTATCAAAATATTAGATGCTACTTAATAAAAACATTTACCACTAACAAGGATCTTGTATTAAATTTTGTACAGGTTATATAACAATTTTTAATCATCTACGCCTATTAGATCAGCACGTTTAATTAAATTTTTTTTTACTGTAATTTTAAGTGTGAAAATTTGTATAGCAAATGCTTTATTTTTTTTTAAATTGTCAAAACTTTATTTACTCTTGGTTCCCTTTGAAACAATTATTTCCTACTGACAATTCTTGACCACTTAAAAATAAACTCGTGATTACGTTTTACAATGCATATAAGTTGTAAATTTTAAATTTTAATTCATAGTAAACTCCACACTCCAATTCGATATCTGTCATACATTTATCTGGACGACTATAGCTGATAATTCATAAAAAAGGGTTACCAGACGTCCTGGTGTTCTAGGACATATCTTGATTTAGCTTTGTTTGACCTGTTGTCTTGGTTTTTTTTTTTTTTTTTTCAAAAACTGGCAAACGTCCTGATTTTGAAGTGACTTCAACTGATGCAAACGGAATCGAATAAATGAAACGAGCGAATAGGACGTTCGACAGATAAGATAAGTTGGACAGAAATAAAAAAGAAATTGATCTTTTTTTAAGAAAGTCGCATTAAAGGATTAATGATATTTTTTCCTTATTTTAGAACTTACGTGAAAAATTTTCAAGAGTCCCGATTTCTTGACCGTTTGACCTGGTAATTCTAGTATAGGTAACTAAAATTTAATATGTTCAAGGTTATATCATTTTCGAAAAGACTTTCAGTAAAAATCAATAAGCTTCTTATCTTGAATATTTACATTGACAATACATCTATTGAAGTCCATGATTTAAAAACGATATACCTACATATGAAGCGCTAACTATTGAAAATGGGTAATTTAGTATGAGAAAAATTAAGTGGAAATAAATTTATCGGTGTAAATTATTAGTTGGACGTATTTAGTTAAACTTTACTTTGAAATAATCTAAAATTTCCTGTCAAGGTGTTTTAATTACTTGCAACCCTTATAATTTAAAATGCATATAGGTATTCAATTAATGATTATACATTTAAGGAGGTTCGGTAGTGATAATTTTTTATGATGAAAATTTTTGAAATTTCGATATGTTGTTTGGGATAATAGTATCAAATTACAGCTAAATTTTTGAAGGGTTTAACCACACCGTTTTCAAGATATATTGACCTGAAAAAACAATATTTTAACATGTAGGCTTATGGAGAAATCACTTAAATTTCACATAAAAAAAAAACGGCTAAATGAACTTGCTTTTTTTTTTTTTTAAATGAAAGAATATTGTCAAAATAATATTTTGTCAAAGTTTGAGAGAGCCCTACCACAAATTTCTATTAAAAAACAGCAAAAAATGTGCTCGCAGCAGACGACTTGGCAACGCTGCTTTTGGCGCGCGCTTTGAAATGTAATGAATAGTAAAAACTCCTTTTGTAATTGAAAATTTAATTATAAAAAATTCAACCGAAGAAATAAGTACACTGTCATCAGTAGACGACGACAACAGCAGTAGACGACAACAACAGTAGACGACGTGCCAGCAGCCAAAAAAAATCACAACGTTGCCAAACGCTATCNTATATATTAAAAATAGACATTTACGTTGCTTTCAACAATATCAAAACTTTGCAGACTTGATAAGAAGCTTTTTTAGGGCTGTCTGACCAAAACGGCATACTACTACTTATCATGGTTATTCAACATTAATAAACAAATAAATAACTGTTGGAGATACTTACACCGACAATGTTTACAATTCACTCTGGATTCCATTTTGTTTTTTTTTCTTTTAAGACTTGTTACGATGAGTTTATACATAGGCTGTAGATTACTGACCACTGCTGACGACTGTTTCACTACTATAGATGATTTATTCACCAATGGATATTTTTTGAGACCACGTAAGGACTATTTATATGCTTGTATTCATCATAGTTTTTTGTTACTCAGTAAAATACGTCTGTGTGTTGTAGCTCTTCTCAAGCACGTATAACTATCATTTATATGAATACAACAGTTATTATCGCGAATACTCAATTTTTATTTTTAACTTTCATCAAATTACTGATAAATTAAGAGCGTGCGGTAGCTCGGTCGGCTGGTTTGTGGGACGGCACGCGGAAGACTGCGGGTTCG